ACCCCATTACCTTGAGTGTTTCTGAACTGGAAAGGCTATACAGCCCGTTCGACGATTTCCTTTGCCAATAATATTCAAGGTGAATATGAAAGCAAAAAGAAACAAATAAAAGCGACCATAGCTCTAATTCGGACTATTCAATCGTTTCTCAATATCAAGCACATCCGACTCGCTCTCAACTTCAATCACACGCTGGGCCTCCGCAGTGTTGCGGAACAGCTCCACGGCACCAGCATACATCATGCGAGAAGAAGGGTTACAATTCTCAGGAAGATAGTAAAGGAAAACATATGGTACTGCCAAACGTCCGGATGGCTGTAGAAGGGGAGTCCCGTCAGTTGTTGGTCAGAGTGACAGAAAGAACGATTTGATTGCTCACCAATGTATGAGGATAGCTCAGCAACACAAACCGTGGCGATGAATCGGGGAGTTCATCGGCAATGTCTTCTAGACTGGAGTAGACTTCGTTCTTCTGTGCGCGGATTTCTTTTGATTTGGGGTCGATAATGTCTGTCTCTGTGAGCATGTATATGCATGGAAAGTCCCAACGCCAGCAGGATGACTATTTCAGACGTACAGATTCTGGCTTGAGGATCTTTTGCTCGCGAAGTACCAAGACGGAACTTTCGCAACTCGTCCTTTGTCTCTTGCGAGAAGGTATATAATCGTGTATCGGACTGCGTCTAGTCAGTACGTTGTACATCGAGTGGATATTATCCGACTAACCATTGTGACTCTGCACGTTTTTGTGTATAGTTACAAATGTATCTTATACAGCGACGTTGCTGTCTGAGTCGGAGAATGCCCCGCAATCGACTGATGTTGTTGCGTCCTGAGGATTCAGGAATCCACGCAGGCACCCCACTCCGCTCCTCCAACCTCCTCCTTCGATTTACAACTTTGCAGTGCATGAATTGCTTATCGCCAGTTTCTCCTGATATATTGTATACATATTCCTTCATGTTTGGCCGCATTGCCCAATTGACTCGACATCTCTCTCGCCCTCTACCATTTGCAGCCCAAACAAGCTTCCACCGTCCTTTCACCATGACATCATCCACGACGTTCTTCGAGAACAAAACCAAGACGATACACACCGCAGCGTGTCTGATCATCGGCGATGAGGTTCTGGGGGGGAAGGTCTGTCATACATCTTTTTTTTTTTTTTTTTTTTCTCTTAATATACCGAAATAAGCTGATGACCGCCGCCAAAAAATAACAGACCATCGACACAAACTCGGCCTACTTTGCCCGCTGGTGTTTCTCACTCGGCATCCAGCTCAAGCGCGTCGAAGTCATCGCCGACGACGAAGACGAAATCATCGAGGGGGTGCGCCGCATGAGCTCCAAATACGACTTTGTCGTAACCAGCGGCGGCATTGGGCCCACGCACGACGACATCACCTACCAATCGATCGCAAAGGCGTTTGGGCTGCGACTGAAACTGTACGAACCGGCATTTGCGCGCATGAAGGCATTGTCGAAACCGCATCCGACTCAGCCCCATTTCGACTGGGATACACCTTCGCCCCAGCTCACGGCGCGGTTGCGCATGGTTGAGATTCCGTATGATGATGCGATTGAGGAGGAGACACAGAGTGTCTTTGTGGCGGATGACTCGTGGGTGCCGGTTGCGACTGTGAATGGGAATGTGCATATTTTGCCGGGGGTGCCGCGACTGTTCGAGAAATTGTTGGATGGGTTGAAGGCTGTTGTGACTCCGCGACTGGCTGATCCAGAGGGCAGTGGCTCGTATAGGGTGCTTATCAGCACGCCTCTGCCGGAAAGTACGGTTGCTGCTTACCTTACCGAGCTCGCCCTGCGCGTCATGCCGCATGGCGTCAAGGTTGGGAGTTATCCGCGATGGGGGAATAAGCGGAACACAGTGACGCTGGTCGGTAGTGACAAGAAATATATCGATTCGTTGGTGGCGGAAGTTGAGAAGAATGTAGAAGGAAGGCGAGTGTCGAGGGAGGATGAAGATGATCCTCCATCTGATACAGAGGCACAGAAATAGATGGTTCATCTATCTATTAGAGATTTATATTGCATATCACTTTTGAGTGCTTTGACGATGAACATATTTACTGTACTAAGTTATAGAATTGATATCTTTTTTCTTAAACCCAAAATATCTTGCTTTTAATTTGACAGATTGACTGCTTGATAGATGAGTTGAAAATCATTCATAAATCAAGTCAAGGAAATTGCTTCAAGATTCTCTAAATATGTATCCAACCAAAGCGCACCGTACACACAGGTACACACAAACCAAAAAAAGAAACAAAGAACAAGGACAACGACAAAGAAAAAGAAATAAAGAAAGAAAGGAAGAAAAGAAAGCGAGACAAGAAATACCTGATAGCATGCAGACCGTCTCGATAGGGCGACTTCTCAAAAGATACCGATAGATAAGGAAAAGGCGTCTAAGGCAGCAAAAAAAAAAAAAGAAAGAAAAACAAAAACGCATGCCATCATCTGTCTTTTTTGTTGACACTGTCCCTCCGTTACATGGTGCATGTTGAAATATCGCGTATGCATTGCCGAATGGTATACTCACACTCGACGTCTCATAGGAACAGGAAGGAAAGACGGCATATAACCATACCTGAATAAAGTCATGGGTTCAAAATCCAAAAAAGGAGAAATGGATATCGAAGAGATAATAACTAAGTGACAGTCAAGAAAAAACAATAATGGAAACATTTGTGCAAGGTAATATACCGGTAGAAGCGCTCGCCGTGTCAGAAGAATGGAGGGTGTAGATAGATAGGCAAACAAGAGTGGTGGAAATTGTGGCGAGAGGAATGTAAGAAATCAACCGTAAACAGATTCCCTTTCTGCTGTTCGATATCCAAAGAGAAAAAAAGTTCATAACGGAGAAAGGGCGCGAACTCGACGAGGTATGGAAGATATCGGGGTTTGCAATTATTTTAAAGAGGCGGATCGGGTCGAGTAAAAGTCGTGGGTGTATGCAGGTAGGTATAATTAGATTAATAGCACTATTGGCCAGAGGCAATTGCACATGGCCGTTTCGAGGATGGCTTCCAGGCTGTCGCCGTGGTCGTCAGGGACCGAGGTGTTCCTTTACATGATGACACACTTCGCACAGCATCCGGCATCTTCGCCTGGCTCGGAAACGTCCATCTTGCCATGGGGGGCACCGCCGGAAAAAGCGCCGCCAGCAGATGGATGGGACGACATCTCCTTGTTGTAGCGACGAATCTCTCGGACGAGGTCGTAGAAAGCGTTCTCGACGTTTATACGGGACTTGGCAGATGTCTCGATAAATTTGCAGCCAAACTGACGCGCCAGAGCCTCACCCTCTATATCATCCAATGGTCATTAGTCATCACAGTGCAGCAGGTTGAGCTCGAAGGGTGTTCTAAACGTACCCTGCTGAGTGACAGCACGATCCTTCTCCAAATCGCACTTGTTTCCAACCACTATGATGGGGAAGTAATCCTTGTCTTTCACGCGGAGAATCTGTTGCTGGTATGTCATGATTTCCTCGAACGATTGACGAGAGGTGATGGAGTAGACCAGTAGAAAGCCTTCGCCTGTGCGCATGTACTGCTCCCGCATCGCCGAGTATTCCTCCTGACCCGCTGTGTCCAGCACATCCAACAAGGCGACCTCATCGTCGATAACACATTGCTTGCGATATGAGTCTATGGAACGAGCATTAGCACGCGGCGTCGGTCTCGAAGCAGCCGGGGAAGCGTACTTACCTTCGATGGTTGGGTCGTATTCATCGACGAAATGGCTCTGAATTAATTGAATGGTCAAGCATGACTTTCCCACGCCACCTCCACCGACAACCACCAATTTATATTCTCGGAGAAACTATAACGACAAGCAAACACCGTCAGCATGCTTCTCTCTCTGCTTTGGAGTGATTTTTTTTCTCTCTCTTTGTCGATGGGATTTTAGTCGCTGCGGGAATCGTGTTCCACGCTCGCTGGTGGGTGTTCTCTTGACGAGAAAGCTTTTGTTGTGCCACTCTTCCTTGGTATGTTGCCGACGAAGGGATGGATGGCTTAGGGGGCAGAGTTCTCGAGCGAGGCGGTCAGCGGGAGGTGGTGGAATTTACCTTGGACGCCATTGAGGCCGAGACAGATCAATTTATACAGGGGAAAGAAGGGACAGCAAGCAATCGCCAGGATGCGGTCGGAGACTCGAGGAGGAGAGCTGCAGGAGTTGAGGTCGTGGAAGGTGGTTGACCGTTGCTGGAAGGTGGTAGGGGGGAAGGAGCAGCCCGAAAGGGTAAGGGGTGGCACCTTGCCGATTTAGTCTGTGCACACCTACTCAACTGTGGATAAGCAAAATAATTAACTACATAGTTATTAAACATGCAAACACAACAACACAACAGACACGACACAAACGCGCCGATACTCGCTGTCTGTCTCTTTGCGCCGAGCTTTTGCGCAAGAAACCTCGCGCTCTGCTACCTACGTGGTTGTCCGTTCAGTCGCCGCGCACAACCACCACCAGCTCACATGTTTCCCGAGAGGGGCGCGATACAGTGGAAAAACGGGCCAGCAGCCACTCAGGAGGCGCTGGGGAGTCTGCGGCGAATCGCAGGCGCGCGATGTGTTCCACCAGCAAAATATGAAATCAGATTCGATAAGCATTCCGGTGGACATAACTAACAGTTCAACAGCAGCAGCCAGCAGCCCGGATCGGAATATCTACAGTCGTGGCGGTTCAATGCCCTCGACAACAAAGCAAAGCTCATCCAGTTTGAAAGCCAATTCCCAGCAAGTCCGCACATGCGCCGTGGCGCCGTGTCTTAGTCGTTACTAGCAGCATCAGCCACCAACGCGAAAGATCCGATCAAGATACGCAAATCTGGGACGTTTTAAGGGGTTCTGTGCCGGGCATTAACCATATTAACTATTACTTCTGACTTATTAAACACGGAGGATTCTGCTAGTCAACTAATAATACTAACAGTGACCGATTGAAACCAATGGATGCTCAGGGACAAAGGAGCGAGCGGCCGAAATTACCGTACGTACCGACCGATACGCTTGTCAACAGCGGCCCCCGACGGCCGCCCGCAGCAGGATGCGTTAATTACGCGTATGTAAGTTATCTTTGATTACCAGCATTCTTGACGGATGCCTGAGGCGTGGACAAGTCGGGAGACATCCTGGATAGCTGACGTGCTGCCTCAAAGAAAGATGTATGCCAAGTATGTTTATGCTATACTGCTCCTGCGACTGCGTACATTCCACTGCCTAGCCACCTAGGTATGCAGTGCGTAATACCAATGCCAAAGCTTTCTCCCACTCGATCTGGTGCAGGCTCGATCTATATCAAAAGGTGCTGGGAATTCTGGCAGCGCTGAAATGTAAACATGGGCTTATACCGCGGCATGGAGTCTATTGCTCTTTTCACCAAGGCGTGCTCGTAATTCAAGAAGCCAAATCTATTATACAACGTCTCCCAACGAGGGTCGTCCTTTGCATCCTGGTATTTGGGGATGCCATGCCTGCGGAGACGGAGCCATATGCGCACAAAGTCCTGCTGCATCGTGTGCGGAAATGACATGTACTCCGGTAGCGAGGAATCCTGCAGTGACTTTAGATGGTTTTCCAGAATGAACAGATTGCTCTCTGTCTGCGAGCACAGCGCCGCAAACCTCTTCAGCCGCTCCTTGTCATTCACGTCAACCAGCACTGTAGTCTGCTCGGCCTCGGAGCCAAACAGTCCTGAATCAATGGCCTGCCTCTCGGTCATGTGCAGGATGTAGTTATGGACGATAAACATAAACGGATTGTTGAGGAAGGTGATCAGACGCTCCGTTTCCTCGATGCGGTGGAAATTGATATAACTCCAGCTGATCACCACGGCCCCAGCCTGCTGCGCCGTGGCCAGCACGTGATTAACAAGGATGTCCTTGGGGATGCTGAAAGGGTCTGTGATGCTATCCATAAACACTAAGTCGGCGGTGGGATCGATCCATGTCTTGATCCAACGCTCGCCGCGGCCGGCGGAGATGTGTTCCGCCCAGCGCATCGCTCCATGTCGCAATGCGACGCTGCGAGCCTCTCGACAGACGCGAGAGATGGAGGGCGGTCGCTGCCAGGCCCGTTTGATGCGGTCGTCGCTGGGGCCGGGACAGGGCCGGCTGGAAGCCATGGGGATAATGCGGCATGGCAGGCTTGCTTTCCAGATTTCTTGTCGGATTTCGGGCGGAAACTGAGCGAAGAGGTCGAATCTAACATGGCGCTGGGGGGATTGGGCCGATGTAGATGGCATGTTTTTTCATTTATTGGAGCCGGTTTTTTTTTGTACGATTCTTTCAGTCGATGTCTCATCAAAAGTCCAATGTTATGATTCCGATGTCCGACAGGCTGGTATAGAACCGTTAGGTGGTTTTCAGATGATAGATAGCCAGCTAGTGACTGCTGACTAGTGCTCAAGCGCCGTTAAGCCCCCTACCTAGGCGTAGTTAGCACCGGCCTGTTGCTTTGCGACGATCTTCAGAGCATGTTCTGTTCTATTAGCCATGGTATTGTCATATCGCCAAATAATGCTGGCATCGCACGCCCTCGGAAAACGCGCGGATGAACTATTAGGCGATGGTTAACTAACGTGATCGCTCGCAAAGAAAGCCGCCCCGCAGATAACCAGCCCAACGAACGAACGACTCCATTCTCGTATCGTTCAAAGAGCCAACTCGCTCCGATTCACCTCCTCCTCCTCCTCCTCCTCCTCCTCTAAAAATTCTGCATGATCATCTTCCGTTCCGCCAGCAGACTGTTCGGCCATTCCACGCGCGCTGCCATCGCCGTCGCTATCGGAGGAGCTTTCCCCGCGGCTAAACTTCCCCCCCGCATCCTACAACCGCAGATTCTCACTCACATCCACAGACGCACAATGGCTTCCGCAATGGCTAAGCGGCTCGAAGGCAAAACCATTGTCATTACCGGTGCTTCTTCCGGTATTGGCTACAGCACTGCCAAGGAGTTTGCGCGGACCTCGCCCAAGAACCTGAAGATCATCGCCACAGCCCGTCGCGTCGACAGGCTAGAGCAGCTGGCCAAGGAAATCAAGGAGGAAGTCGGTGATGGCGTCAAGGTGTTGCCCGTTGCTTTGGATGTCTCGAACCCGCAGGAGGTAAAGAACTTTGTGCCTTCGCTGCCTGCTGAGTTTCAAGACATCGACGTACTGGTGAACAATGCGTAAGCTTCCTCTCTCCTCTTGAATATATATGCTCGTAAATTGCTAAATTTTCAACGCAGCGGCCTTGTCAAGGGTGTTGCTCAAGCTCCTGATATCGACCTGGAAGACATCAATGTTATGGTGGCTACCAACGTCACAGGGCTGATCAACATGACCCAGGCTGTTTTGTCTGTCTATAAGAAGAGAGACGAGGGCGGTCGCGGAGATATTATCAACATTGGAAGTATTGCCGGTCGCGAGCCATATGCTGGTGGAGGTATCTACTGTGCTACCAAGGCTGCAGTGCGCAGCTTTTCGTCTTCTCTCAGGAAGGAGCTCATCTCTACTCGCATCCGAGTTATCGAGATTGATCCTGGTCAGGTTGAGACGGTATGAACCACTGCTTCCTTGAAATTTTCTCTAGAAATTTTCTAACAACTTGTTGCCTTTTGAGTAGGAATTCTCGGTTGTGCGATTCTATGGTGACAAGTCCAAGGCAGATGCGGTCTACGCGTATGTCCTACTCTTTTATTTTTCTGTTGCCGTATGTCAAATATAGCTAATTGATTCGTCTTTCCCAGTGGCTGCGAGCCTCTCACTCCCGATGACATTGCAGAGGTCATCGTCTTCGCTGCAGGACGCAGGGAGAACGTCGTCATTGCAGACACTCTTATCTATCCCAGCCACCAGGTAAGAACTTTGAGCAACCTTGTTGACACGATAGACTGATCGATTGTGACAGGGTGGTGCCAACGCTATTCACCGCAAGTCGTGAATTCATACGAGACTTTCTCTGTCAAAGAGCGAGTATTGACTGACATGTAGAGTGGATTTGTGTGTAGATCATCTGTGTATCTAGTCCATAGCTGCAAGTATATAGAAGTGCAATCGAGCTTCCCTGAAGCATTTCCCCGTCCCCTGGCATTCAGTCTGCAAGTCAATGATCTAATATATGGCAATGCAGAATATATTGACTGGCCGAAAACAGTAAGAAAATGTACCTGACTCTGCCTGAGGACCTTGTGTGCCTCAAAGGGCAAATCAAGTTATGTACAGTAGAACCTGGCCGTCATGGAAGGGCGCCAGTAAATTTACCTAGAAGTGGGTTTGATTAATCTATTTAATACTAATGGTTCGAATGCCCTTCACTCCCATCATAAATAATCTAAGCTGAGACCAATACTGATATAGAGTGGCCTTCCGTTCCTTATAGTCAGGTTCTACTGTAGGCTCTCTTTTCTAGTATTCCGCATAATCCGAGATTCATTTATCTAGAACTTCTACCCTATAATACTCTTTTACTAATATATTTCACATATATCTATGAAAGACAGCGGAAGTAGCAGGATGGAATGAACGAAGTCTATTATCTCGTGAGATATTGTCCCATAAGCCGGCGACAAAGGAGCAGAACAGAAAATCAAATACCAAACCTTTATATACCAGGGCCAATTTCTTTGTTTAATTGTAAACGCAGCTTGGTTCGGAGTCCAGAATAGAGGCCGTGACGCTATCATGCGTTGTCGTCTAGTTGAGACTGGGAGAGAGCTCTCACCTTTGTTTTACTGGAGCAGAGTAGCAGGCTTGCATTGTGTCGGCTTACAAGACATGCAGTTTATATCGAGAAGCTGAGTTGCTGTGCTCAGCAACAAATTTTCTTGTTTTGACATGAGCAATACTGTTGGCTTATGATAAGGCACCAGGGCAGCCAGCCAAAGATAAAAAAGACCCGTCTAGACATTTCCTAATCAGGCAATATAAATCAGGCGTGAAAGGGTCTGCGGTGCATGTGATATGTGTCCCAATGCGGTTGGCCACAAAAAGAAAAGTTACCAGCCTTAATAATAAACCTTCGCAGTCTTCCCTACGTTTAAATAGTTTGATACTTTTCACAATCCTTTCTCCAGCAAGCTCTTAATCTGCTGCAACGGATCCAGGCCTTTGTCATTAACTCAGCTCTCAGTATGAAGACCATATACATGCCCCCTGTCTATATGTTGGCTTCGTTAGCGGCGTCTCTGGGTGGTCTGCTAAATGGGTAAACTGACTGCCTGTCTACTGTGACGACGACTCAACGCTGACGCATTCTAGGTTTGACACGGGAGTCATCGGGGCGGTCACAGTGATGCCTCAATTTTCACACCAATTTGGGAATTTGTCGCCTGTGATGCGAGGTTTTATAGTCTCTCTAATCATGCTCGCCTCGGCCCTCTCATCGCTATTTGGGGGTTCGTTGACCTTCCGATTTAGCCATATGAATGTGGTAGGGGTAGGCGCTTGTGTGTTCACCGTGGGGTGCGCTCTTCAAGGGTCCTCAGTCACCATGCCCATGTTTCTTTGTGGAAGGGTGCTTGCAGGCATAGGCCAAGGATTGTGGTTGGCAAACGTCAACATGTAAGTTTTTCCCTCCTCGGCTGTCGTTGACTACGTCACACTCACCTGGAATCTCACAGATACATCTGTGAGATAGCGCCTTCGAACTATCGCGGAAGTCTCATAGCGTTACCACAGCTCATGGTGACTGTCGGTATATTTTTGAGTTACTTCACCTGTCTAGGTTCAGTCAAGATGACTTCGTCGATGGCTTGGCGCAGTCCGTACATTATCATGGGCATCCTCAGTTCTCTTCTAGGAATCTCTTGCATCTTCTTACCTCAGTCACCACGCTGGCTCATGCTCCATCATCAACGTGAAAAAGCGGTCAAGGCGATCCAGCGGCTCGACATGGACGCTGTTGAAGCAGAGAACTATACCATGGGAACACAAGAGACAGCGCAGAATGAGACACAGTGCAACAAGGTGAAACAGCTCATCGTTCTTTTCCGTCCGGAATACAAATCAAAATCTATGCTTGCCGCTTTCCTGCTCTTGATGGTCGGTTTATCTGGTATTGACGGGATCCTTTATGTATGTTTCCGGAGTGTTACTTCATGCAAAGCCAACCAAAGCTCGTAAACTGACATAAGTCCACAGTACGCCCCTGTCCTATTCGGCCAAGCGGGAATTCCTACAAAAACGGCCGACTTCCTGGCCTCAGGTTGCTCTGCGATCCTGATGCTTGCCGTCTCCATCCCTGCAGCCATCTTCGCTGAGAAATGGGGAAGAAGAACGGCGATGCTTCTTGGGGGAGCCGGTCTGTCGACTTGTATGTTCCTCATGGGAAGTTTGTATGCGTCTAATTCCGTCCGTGCATCTGGCGTTGGAAGGTGGTTTGTAATCATCTTCATCTTTCTCTTTGCGGCCGTGTATTGCGTGACCTGGGCAGTTGCAGGCAAGATCTACGCTAGTGAGATTTTGCCTACTAAGGTGAGAGCACAAGGGAATAGTGTTGGACAAGGGCTTAATTTTGTGAGTGTTTCTTTTCTTTTTCGCGTTTCAGCTGTTTATTGGTGAAACCAAATTGCTAAAGAGGAGTATCAACCCAGTTGGCCAATTGGTTCGTTGCATTCACAACACCCATATTCCTCTCGAAGTCTTCATATGCGCTGTATTTTCTATATGGAAGTCTTTCCTGTGTGACCATGATCGTTCTGGCGCTCTATATGCCCGAGACCAAGGGGAAGTCTTTGGAGGAGATTCAGCAGGGCTTCCGGGTTCCGACATCTCGATTGCGGACACCGATAAAGACAGTGATGATGGCTATTCAGTGATATTTACTGCACCTCGAAAAGTTTTGTTCTTTTGGTGCGTACGATAGTACGGTGTATTCGGAAAACTAGCAGCAGATGACAGAAGCGTATTACATAGATCATATACTACTTCAAGCATGATTCCTAATAGGCCAATTTATAGGGAACGTACGTAGTGGTAAAAGGGTGCAATCAAGTGTATGTAACCAACACTGCTATTCTGTGAGAAACTCAAATTCATACAGATAGGAATAAAAACGAAAACGGCATTGTCGCTAGAAACATGCAGCAAGACAGTCCCTGCTGCTGTCGATGAGTCCATGATGTGACAATTTCCAGGGCTAGCAACCCCTGGTGCAATATGGATGTTTCTGAGTGTGCACCGGTGCTCATTATTCGCATCATATCAATTGCAGGTGTCCTCTGATATACAAACCTGCAAGGTACGGTCCGTAGGATGTGCATCTAGCGCTCGCCTGGGCAGTATTACATGTCCCAGCTATTTTCTCCCTGGTCTTGCGCGGAAAGCATGCCAATATACCAGAGTGCCATCAAAACAGTAAGTCGTGGTTGTCCGCCTACAGGCCCTCCGCGTGCCTCCCAGGGAATCGGGGTCGAGATTTTCAAATTTCCCGCATCATCTCACATTACACATCACTACAACCAGGATCGCGTTTGTCAGCGGCCAGTCATGCTTCATGTACCAGTTGACCTGACTGAGGACTTGAAGAAACTCCTTTTGCTGATATTGGCTTCCTGTGCGAAGTGCTGTATTCCATTTCCAGCTTGGTTTTACATCCCCAGGAGCTCGGTTAGGACCAGAACCAGTGGGAAGGCGACAGCGTAGTATGCCATGTCTGGCACAAAACCGGCAATGATCCTGGCGGCTTCACCATTATCCATATAAACGGTGGTAAGGCCATTTAGTTCATTGTTCAAAGTCAAATAATTGAAAGTCACCCGTAAAGCACGGCGTACTCTCAATATTATCAGTTCGATGCGAGACCGCAGTTGTCTTTTGGCAATTAGGACCGGCGGGGGCATTTGGAGAAAGTCAACCAGGGGGATCATCGCCATGTAAATAAAATAGGCGGTAGAATAAATGAAGAGAATGAGATATGAAGTAGATGTAGGTAATTGCTTGAAATGGGTGGCGGTGGTCGTTCGCAGCTCGTGTCCTGCGGGCTTAGCGAAGCTCTTTTCAATCTATGCCACTCCCTTGTCTCAAGAAGAGATTTCCATTGCCCTGGCAAGAGATGTATAGGCTACGCTCCCTCGTTTTGTCTGGATAGCGGACAGGCCGGGCTGTTTTACGCGCCGTGTTTGTTTCAGGTCTGACAGCCTCCGTTTCTAGCAATCCTACAATAAGGGACCTCGATATGGTAGCGTAATTGGCTGAACTGCCATCATAATTAGAAATCTTCAGGGACGTAATTACGGAAAGAAAGTACTGTGAAATATCTCTCGTTAGCCTCCGAGGCCTGACCTGTGTTATCAAGGTGGTAGGTGATGATGCCTAGGTATGGATGTATATATTGCATATACTGATGTTCCCTTAGCATCACGGCCGTGAACCTTGGAGGCTGCCACTTGAGACTGCAGATCGCGAATATAATATCTTCAAGTGTGACTCAATGGCATATCAACGCTTATCGAAAGCAGGGATTTGTGCTCGTGGCATTACTCCTCAGTTCTATGGAACTCTGGAAAATATCAATCCTAACCTATGCAGCATCTCCGGCATTTCCTTGAGGATGAATTTCCTCCTACGGCTATTCTTATAGAATATATTCCTAATATCAAAGAGCTAAATTGGACCAACTACAATGCAGGGAGGATGCAGAACTTTATCAATGGTTTAATTGCAATTCACGAAGCACATATCCTCCACAGCGATGTATATCCAAGGAACATGATGATTGTGGAAGGAGATCCAGAAAGAAATATCTGGATAGACTTCAACAGGGCACAAACGTATATTGGAGAACTTTCTGAGTGCCAGAAAAAAAGAATTGTATGCGAGCAAGAAATCGTTTCCGATATAGGTGATCTTCTGGTATGTAGAAATTGATTCTCAACGCGTCCACGATTTTCCTTTTGCTGATTTTGCCTACTTGTGAATACAGAGACAAGACGCAGAAGCGGGTAAATACGACAAAACATTATCTTTTGTTAAATTTATGGATACTTGCTTGTGGCTAAAGACTGGCTCTTTGTGTTCACATTTTCTTGGCCGTACATACGGTCTCTTCTTACTTGCTGAACTAATGTGACCATTTGTGCCAAGTATCACGGAGTATAAACTTTTTGAAAAGGAACACAAGGGTCTACAAAACATAAAGCCTGCCAACCCTCGGGCAGCTGTGTGCGTATGCTTGTTTGCAGGCACTATTTTCGGCGAGAACTGTAGTAACTTAGTCGAGGATGGAGGAGGGTCGTTTTGTTGACCACCACTGGCCTGGTAGCGCTGCTCATCAGACTTTCATCAAGGAATAGTCGTGCTGGGGGACTAGGAGCTCACATTCTTTCAATGATGGGGTCGCCTTGCATATCCTGTATACAAAGAAGGAGCTAGAGTACATGCGGATTTGTGAGATATTTGAAGTGTCAGAAGAGTTCGATCTGAGGAGCTTCCATGAAAAGTGGTGGGAACAAAGACACGAGTGTTTAGAGGCATGTCCTGTGAAGTATTAGAACAGCAAATGCCTAGCCATTCAATGAAAGCTTGCCACACGTCACTGTTCCTTCAACGATTTGATTCTTAAGTATCTTCGTTTCCATCAAACATTTCAATATTTTGAAGTGATAAAATACCAATTTGCATGAGTTCAATTGTCTCTGGTCTAAACTCTCCTTGCCACTGTTTGTTGAATGACACGCTAGTGAACTATGTTGAATTCTATGTTCAAGCCAATTCGAAGACTCTCTACATAAGCTCTGACTCAATGACGCTCTGCTGTCCACGACGATTCGGCCAGATCTTGACTATCTTCAGACCGACACTTCCCAGCAGTTCCTTCCACTGGCTTCTCGTTCTCTCAATGCCGGTGAGGACCAGCATCATCAGCATATCGCTTGCTGCAGCTCGATGATTAGCATTAACATCGTCGATGACATGCTCATCCAGCAGCAATTTAGAATACCCCTTTGTCATCACTTTTGCCACGTTGCCCAGGAACCGCTTACATTCGGCGTCTGGCCAGTCGTGGCAAATGTCGCGCATAAAGTATAAGCGGGCACCGTGGATAGGCTGCGGTGTGAAAAAGTCATATTGGAGCATTTCGATCCCGGCACTTCTAAGCATATCGAGCCGCGCAGAGTCGACATTGGCAAACGTAGAAGGCAGATCTTCGAGTATCAGTCGACCGGGAAGGTCCGGAAATTCTGTTGCAAACGCGTATATATCATGACCTCGACCGCCGGCAATATCTACCAAGAGGACTGGGTCAGGATCTCCATTGCTCTCGACTTCGTTGTGTGACCTTGCTGTTTCGCTCTGGCTGTTGCTGCGGATGCTGGCAAGCTCAGATGCCACGGGGTAAGTGTGAAACCATTTGACTTCAGTGCCTTCGCGTCGTCCCGACATCAGGTTATCAAATACCACTTTGTATTCTTTGTTGGCTTCCAGAAAATCAAAGATCGGAGCTCCAAATGTAAACTCAAAAGGGCCCTTCTGGTCCTTGGTAGGAAACTGGTGGATGCCACCGTCTTTCACACATTTGATCAGATTGGCGCCGATGGGAAAGAGGAAGTCAAAGCTGATAGCAGAGAGTTAATACCATCTTCTCGCCCTAAAGACCCTTTCAACTCACAAGTACTTCTCTGCTGCAATACTTCCTGGAGTATCGAGCAGGCGCGTAACGTCGTTTGCCGCATAAGTGCACACATCCACCTCGGAAATGATTCTCCGGGCAGTCAGAACTCGAATAAGTCTCTCTAATTATATCTTCTGCATCAGCCAAGAGAGTGGAGGTACAATGCCATTGTTTAGACTAACCAATAAACTGCTTATCAAGGTTTGTTTTCTCTGCTAGCTCGCTAGAGGTAATGGGATTTCCGTCACGAGTCACAATGGCATGGAGAATTCCCGTCTCGATTGCCAGACGCTTGCAGATACTATTTAGAATCTGGCCAGATCTGTTGTTAGAGAGAACGACAGTATTGAGGGCAAATATTGGGAAAACAAGAAAGTTACCTCGAATCTAGTCTCCCAGAGGATGTCCCATGGAGCATCCACTTGGGCTTTCAGGTCGTCGACTGCTTCAGTTACAACAGTGCGAGAACTCGAGTCTCCCAGGGCTTCACGGTTCAAACCATCTTGAATGGTTTGAACAAGACTGTTTATATATGCCATTGGTAGAGAAAGCAATGGCAGTGTAAAAGGGTAATGCAAGAAGGGTTGTCCTATTCAGATTGACACCGTCGGGGAGTCCGTGGAAATTGATTTCAGTCCGTAGATGCTGGATGCTGTCGCCATACTTATACCTAGTTAACTGCGCTTCTCCGTCACCCCTCTTATCTGTACAACCACAGGACATGCATATGTGTTGCCTGAACGAGTAGAAATCTTGAAGTTGTCTCCTATCTTCAAAGTTGCAAGCTCGAGACCCTGTTCTAGGAGTAATTGATACCTTGAACTTGAGCAGACAATGGAATGCTATAATTATTGGCTCCGGTTATCCTCCATGAAATTCCTGCTCTCATCAGCTTTCATAGTTTCGACCTTTTCAACGACACCGCCAGATTATGTTAGAGTTCTTCCCAACTATCATGCATTCGCCCGTGAGCGAGACGGAAACGGACAGGTAACGGCGACTATTTCCAAGTTTTCGGCATAAAAATGTATTCATATTCACCCGTACCATAGACATGGAACCTTTGTATAGTTAGTATTGTCTTGTGTACCCACGATTCAACCTGAGTTCTCCGGATGTAAAACTGCAAACTGACTGAGTACTTAGTACATGAAAAAGCCACGCCTGCGAGATATATTTGGAGAAGCGTCGGCTTTAAATCTCGTAAATCAATCACCGGAACATGCGGCATACACCATTCACTGTTAGCATAGAAATGCCATTTCTGGAAATTCGGACCACTGTGAGTATAAGCGTCATTAGAAGTAATTGCACATAATTTAGACATGGCGGTGAACAGCAGTGGCAATAATATTTAAAATAATAAATATAACGAACTGGAGGTAACGTTCGGCCAACCGTAAATGTATACACAAACGTACATCCAGTCCGAAGACAAATGAACAACTCGTTGTCGAAATCACCGGAGGACAGAAGAACATCTCATTTCTCACTTTAAATAACTGTACTGTAGCTCAGAGTATCGAGCATATGAAGAAGTAAAGAGCTTGAAAGTCTCATGTTACCATGAAAGTTTCTCAAACATAGCAACCGCTTGTTTAGAAACGCGAATAGGTTTAGTCCCATGGATGAATGAGAAGGACCAGACGCAGACAAAGACTTCCGTCGTCCAACTGCACCATTTCACGTGAATTGCCGTCTCAATAAGCCTAGCATGTGCCGAGAGAAGTTACTGTCGCGATGAAGCAATGAAGAACGTCCAGCATCCTCGCATATGATTGGCTTGAGCAATTGGCCGCCCTTCAGCCAATCAGCGGCGATCCCAGCTGGCCGGCTGCGTAAGGTGCCAAGAAACTCCTGAGGGAAGCTCCAGCTCGAAGGCCAGGCCAGATCCAACTTCTGAATGCTATTCAGTAACAACTCAACAACCCACCCTCTGTACAAGAAACAATCTTCTTTTTTATTTTATTTTTTTTTTTCATTCCAAGCTATTTGCGCATATCGGTTCCTCGCCTCGCAGATCGAGTCCTCCGTCCTACCGCGCACGTCCCATTAGGCTACGACGTTCCGTCTTTCACGACTTCATCGCGACACTCGTCAGCTAATCTGCTTGTCTATACACTATATATACTGTATAGAGAGACGCATTTTACGCGACAACACTACGTTTATATCAAGTTTCTTTGGACAACTTCATCAATTGCGCCGTCAAGATGGATCTCACCAACATCTTGTATGTTGCTTCCTTGCCAGGTCTTGTTCCAGCAATGTGGTTTTGGAACAAAGATTCCAGGATTCGACCGTCATTATCTAGCTTACAGCATTAAGTGACTGACTTTATTTATTTTTCACTCAGCCGTCTCGTGAACATCGCCGTGGGTGTGATTATGGTTTTGGGCGGTATCAGTCAATTCTTTCCCTTCTCAGTTGGCTCGTTAGTTGTCGGAATATATGTTATCATCTTTGGTTTCAGTATGTGGGAAACAATTCTGTTTCATTTCGCGCTTTTTTTTGTGGACGCTAACTTGTTTTTTTCCTTTTTCACAGTTGTGGGCGGACTTGAATTTCTTCCGCAAATCCCCGATTATGTCTACCGTTACGCCTCGTTTCTCTTCTCTTTCCTTGGTCGCGGTGTTTGTAAGTTGGTCCGACAACAGTATCCGTGTCTCTCGATACTGTTCTGTTTTTTGCGTGTCAGGTAATACTAACAGCTAAACCCATAGTCTACATCTTCGTTGGATCAATCCTGATACACGACCATGTCCTCCGTATCATTGCCGGATCTATCGTCGGTATCATCGGTGTTGGATATATCGCGCTAGAATTTGTGCCGTCCATCGAACCTCCAACGAACATGCGCGAGGCTGACCCAAGCTGGGGTGCCGAAGAGATCTAAGGAGCTCTCTAATACGTCTCATATCCTTTCGGAAGGCCGAATATACTTCAGGTTAAGAATATTCACTATATTCACTCTGTGGTTTGCTATGTTTCTTCTGAGTCACTGGGATATCAGACGTAGACTGAAGTTTTGACGATGACCACGATAATACAAAATGGGGCGCCGTCACATATAAAAATATATTCTGTTTATGCGGTACAGGTGAGGAAGCGGCGGTGTCGATGTTGGATATGGCATGGTGCTAGATGAGGATGATACCTGATATGTTTTTTACTTCATAACGAGGCGGCTGATTCTTGATGGATTTGGCTTTTGTTCTGGTTTCTTTCCTTTTTTATAAAATTTATCCGAGGCAATATCTACCCCAATATAACCGCATTTTGGACTCATGGATTTTCTATTGGGTTCTGCTAGTCCGGCTTTTTATTTCAAATGCATGAAGAAAATCCTTTGTGAATCCATGTATAGATACTATCTAGTAAAATGAAGAAGAAAGAAAGAAATCCTAGTACATAAGTGACGATTATGATTGACGAACAGAGTATTGCATAACCATTAAGCCATACGTAAAGCACGCTTTTTCTTTTCGTAAACAGTGGTTATTGCAACGACTTATCAAAAATGGTGAGCGCCAGATGCCTTGTCTATTTCAGTATTGGAACTAAAAGACAGACATGATCTTTGCTTGCATGAGAAATTGCATGTAAGTACAGACAACAATTCAATCGGAACAACATCCTAACTGCCTGGCAGTTCGGCGGGATTTGATCTTCCTTGTTTTGGTGCCTCAAGTTCTTCTATACGATTCGACCGGATTTGCGTGGAGTCAAGCTCCGGTTTCTCGTATGACTCGTTTGCTCTTCCTTCTCTCAGTTTGCGTGCACGCTGAGAACGAGCATGCCGATACCATAACGCAGCTAACACAATGACTATTATTACGCCAGCCGCCACACCAACTCCAATGCCTGCCTTTGCACCGGAAGAAAGGGCACTAGTCGAGGTATCGCCCGAATTTGTTACCGAAGGGCTTGCTATTTGTGAAGTCGTGGTACTGGCTGCATGTGTGGAGGTGGTAGAGGCGGTAGAGGCGGTAGAGGCAGTAGAGGTAGCGGTAGGACTGGCGGTGGAGCTGGCTGTTTGACCCAACACCTGAGGGGATGCTAAAGAAAATGTGCCCTCAGCGCAGCAGTCTTCCTGGGCCAAGGCGTCTGAAGACCGGTGGCAACAATAACTCGTCAATGCGGCATTGCAAGCCCATATATAATCACCGCCGCCGGAGGAATCTATAAGGAATAGCTCTTGTCAGTTCTGTATCCGTAGTTTGCCGAAACGAAAGAAAAGAGGAACAGAATGAAGAAATATTGCGTACAAGTAGTGCAGTCTATTGAGCAGCCGTTATATGTCTCATTCTGACAGGATGGTGTATAGTAGAGGCCGGTGTAATTATAGGTATCGCCATCTGAGAAGGTTGTCGTCGACCCATTCGAATGATTGTTTTTGTCGCGACAAAGCCCATTATCCATGCAAGTGTCACCATCAGGGCAACACATTTCTGATTCAGAGCACGGAACGTCGTTTGTTGCGACCGTTCCATTGCGGTAGTAACATATTGCTGACGATGATGATGATGATGATGATGATGATGATGATGATGATGATGATGATGATGATGATGATGATGATGATGACATGTCGCTCTGAGAATCGACAATCTACATTGACAAGCAGACCATAATTTCATGAAAATATGTGGGCAAGTGAAGATGATAGAGAATTTTGCGGAAGTCGATTGTTTAATGCGGATAGTTCATCTTTTAACCAGCAGCCTTGGGGGCGGTCCCCTCCATGCTCCGAAGCGCTAAACGGTCAGACAGAGCTCTACAAGCTGAGCCAATCTGGCTAGCCAATAGTCATATCTGCAAGGTACAGTGGTGGATTCTGTCTGCCAAACAAACTGGTTGGTCCTCATGCGTTCATGTTACCAGCTCACCTCCGTATCCTCTTCTATTTTGGGTCATGTACAGGTATTTGAGGCGCAGGCACTGGCGCTCATTGATATTTTATTCAGGGACAAAAGTAGAACTTTAGTGTGTTTTAGGCGATGCACAGAAGAAGCCGTCGGATAAGGCTATCACAAGTCAGCCATGCACGAGAGAACTCGGTCAGTTGCCTCATTGGGCACATACCCTAGGAGGCTAGCGCATCGAAATGCACGGTGTGCATTAGTGCGGCGCTGCAGCGGTTACGCGCAGCCAACCAGCAGCTTGTTTCTGTTCCACTTGCCGCACTTGAGTCTCACCTGTCCAATCAGGCTTTATAGCACTCCTCCCTCCGCTATTTATGGCAAGCCCTAAGTAGGCCCCTGTTGTGGATGAACCCTAACTACGAATTTGATTGAACATTGCTCGGGATACTGCATCAGAACCGCGGGCAGATGTTGGGCCATTGGCTGAGAAAAGAAACATACATCTATCTACCCGTGGAACTAGGGATCTGGCATGATTCATCTGTAGAAGGATTTTCTCCAATCATGGGAAGCAAACGACCCTAATGTCAAAGCGCCGAAAAGAGTGTATCACCATTGCAGGGCATGCATACAGCCTCATTACATGTGTAATTAGGGAGTGAAAGAGACTACAACCCGATGATGCGAGGGCGACTTCTGTGAGTAATGTTTTCATCCTTTGATTACCCCATATCGCCCTTCTCTTATCACTTTTTTCCACTCCAAACATCGGCAGCTGACTTGACCCATTTTCATACTATGCCCGATGACAAGATGCCTCAAAATCATGGCTTCGACGGCCTCCAAGTAGTATATGGTGATGCAGGTCTTGAGCCAGTCCCTGGTCATCATTCATATTTTCGGCATAGCTGGCGCCCACAACTTGTCAAGAATGAACAAGCGGCAAAACCTAGGAAAATATGTGGTTTGCGAGTGACAACATTTTGGCTTGTGTGCGTTATTGCAATCTTGATTATCGGCGGCGCAGTGGCAGGTGGTGTAGGAGCTTCGTTGGCGATCAAGAAGTCATCAGAGTATGTTATTAAGGTTCTTAGATTTGGATACTTGAAGAGATTGGATAGATGAGGAGTTGAAAAAACCGGATGTTTTGTTCTAACTGAATGTTTCTTATACAAATAGCCTCGATACGACGCCAACCAAGACGTCAAGCATTCCAACGTCGTCCAGCACCTCAAGCAGTTCAACAACACAACCCAGCACTTCAGGCAGTTCAACCAGTTCAACACAGACCAGTACCACAAGTAGTGCGACACCATCCAACATTTGCCCCAGCGCCAACGGCACGACATACACGGAGAGCCTTGGATCGTTTAAGTACCAGATTGTCTGCAACTCTGACTTTGGTGGGAGTGGAAAGGAGACATTATCCTCGACCGTGCTATCATCATTCAGCGACTGTTTGAGTATGTGCAATACAATGAATTACTTCCAAGACCGCGCCGACGTCGGCTGCACGTACAACGTTGAAGGCACGGGTGAGCAAACACCAGGGACTTGCTGGTGTTTGGGAGGGAATAAGACGATTGTATCAAATACAGGGAACGTCATTGCTGTCCCACAATGATTTGGATACTGTGCAACATCTGCATGTTTCTCTTTTTTTTTTGTTGTCTTTTTGCCCTCTCTCGCGTTCTTTCTTGAGTCTTTTAAGCGAAATATGTATTAGTATTGAGTAGTTTTATAAAGCTAAGCACTTTCTCCTTGTGGTGAGCTGATACCGATGTAATATATGCTGAAAAGTCTTTCGTCTAAATACTATGCGTGAATTTTGTGATGACGTATATTAGATTATTCGCCATATTAGCTTGAGCATCATGCTGAATGGGTATATACTTAGGTAGACTCATACTATTACCTCTTACCACCAGCCAAGGTCAAGGTAGTGAGTACATCACGGCTCAAGCGATATTCAAAAATGGCGGAGAGAATAACATATCACATCCAATCAACACTGCCGTAGTCGTGGTCCAGACTTTACAGAGGTGTTTGGACTATAAAGGGTTTCGGAATATTGCCGAAATTTTAGGGCACTGTTGTTACAGAATGCTGCGGACGGGGGCTGTCGTGGAAACGTGAGATGATTGGTATCAACCTTGGAAGCGGATCTTGAATCACACAAGATCGATTTTGGAATTAATGATTTATTTATCAAAATCTTTTGTACTCCACAAATGGTTGCGTGATTCTGATGTTGTATGAACTTTCTCCACGGCGACCTATCCTATATAATGTACTCAACAAACATTTTGTAACGTAGTTGCAATGCTAAGGTATATGCCCATTTCTTTTTCTTGGTTTTCACCAAGGTCTTTCCGTCAGCGAATCCAATGGAAAAAGACCCATGGAGATCTCATAAAGATGCATACAAGCGCTACGCATACTAGCTTTGCAACCCACTAGCGGGCTAGGCCAGCAAAAGGACGTTAGAACTTACTACTATTTCAAGCTATTATTAGATACAATTATTCTGATAGCCTGACTGGTAGGGACCAATAGAATTGCACCTGTTTACGAGGATTTATTTCTAGGATGACAGCGCCGCATTGCACCATGTCCTGGACATGCAAAATATCGACCGGGTTCACAAATTTTCTCTTTTCGGAATCAAGAAGATTGTGTATCCTCACAACCTAGGCATCCCGCCTCAAATTTTGCGAGTAATTAGCCCATTATGAACCCGTAGAAACAAGTTTGCGCATTAAGGCCATACTATGGCAGCCTATACTTATTCTATTCTAGCACTTATTTATCCGAATATCGCCAAAATGAGGTCCTGGGTAGTAAAAATTGCCTGATACGGTAATCATGAGTGTTCCTTGATTCTCCTTGATTTGCTCTATGATTTGTCTGCCTCCTTGATATCTACTCGAGTCGAATTCATTTCGTTTTGTGCTCATATATGGAACGAGTGATCTAGCTCAAATTAATATCCCGGAATATGCCGGTACCGGCGCTGGACCGGCTTGCCAAAGGAAACGATAAAGCGACCTTATTGCCTGTCATCAAGCTTTTTGTCTATTTCCTAGTATACAATTCGCCGGATAATATATGATCTATGTAATTTTGGTTGACAAAGGTAACATTGAAACATACTTTTCCTAAGCTATGTTACTATGAACACCGTCCATTTTATGCGACATTAGGTATACACAGACGGGTGGGTCATCTGGAATATCGACTTTATAAAATACTGCGTGATTTGACATTGTAATAGCTGTCCTAGACCCCATTTTTGGATGATCAAACTGTGCAGGGCAGTAGATATCAACATGTCATTGTGCCTGCGATCTCCTCTGGTTGCTCGGTTGAGTGGAAGCTCGTGGGAAAAGCGGCCAACTGCATTTCCGACAATGCTCGCAATACGCCCGAACCACACAACGAGTAGTTCGATGAGAAAGTTTACTCAAAAAAGCTTGCAAGATCCAAAGCTTTCTTTCGCGGGTCGCACCATTCTTGTCACAGGTGCCAATAGCGGATTGGGATTTGAAGCGGCCTCCAAGTTCACAGTGTTAGGGGCTTCCCGGGTTATTCTGGGTGTTCGAAGCTTGGAGAAGGGCGCTGAAACCCAGAATTTCATTGAGAAGCGCACGGGAAAGCTGGGCATTGTGGAACCGTGGCACTTGGATATGAATGACTACGGAAGTGTCAGAAACTTCGCAACTCACGCCTCGACAGAACTTGACCAACTGGACATCGTGGTCCTGAATGCTGGCGTCTTCAGCGTCAATTATCGACCGTCTCTATATGGCTGGGAGGAGACCCTCCAAGTCAATCTCCTTTCCACAGCATATCTGGCTCTTCTAATTTTACCAAAGCTTCGGGCATCCCCGCATACATCGCTCCTTGAATTCGTCAGCTCCCGAAGACACGAGGTGTTGAATATCTCGGACGAGCAGAAAATTGCACCAAATCTGCTCGAGAAGTTCAACAGCCCGAGTAACTTTAAGTCTAGCCAGCAGTACCAGGTTTCAAAACGCTTTTTAATATGTTTCATGCAGGCTCTAGCGTCCTTGGTGAATCCGACCTACGATGGAGTCACGATCATGGCAGTTTGTCCTGGATATTGCCAATCTAACCTGAGTAGAGGACACACGGGGATTTCTGCAGCTATCCTGCGCGGACTCCTCAATACATTCGTGTTGAGGACCGCGGAGCAGGGATCTAGGACCTTCGTCAGCGGGGCGGCTTTGGGACCAGAGGCACACGGAAAATTCTGGTACGATGATGGAATTCACGAAACGTGAGTATTCAATTGTTGGGATCGCTTTTTGGGGGGATTCTGTTACAATGAAAAGTACGGCTAACTATCCCAAAAGCTCTGCAAACCCGGCTTCCGGTCCGGATGAAGACCAATTTAAATGGCGCGTTTGGAAGGAGATCGTTGAAGCGCTTGAGAAAGACCTCCCGGAAATTACTAACAGTGTCAAGCTTCTCGAGGAAACGAAGGCGTGATTTGACTTTCATGTGTCGTCGCTCCCTTGAACGATGTCTTTTCACAACCCCCTACCCGGTGTTGCTGCCACAGATGGAAATGCTGTCGGCTCTGCATCGCTCACAGTACCTGAGAAGAGTGTTAGTGCTTACAATTTCTGGTAGGAAGGCGGCGGGGATTCGAATCGATATTTGGGCAGTAAGCAATAATTCAAGGATGTGACGGAGGAGCCTAGATATTGCCCTCTTCTCTCTAGGGTAGCGAGATGTCATTCTACTATTTTCCCCCCGATTTTGTATGTATACAGGGGTTTTTTAGCATCATTAAAAAGTTGTATAGATGTATTCAAGGGCTCAATAGCCATGGTTGTAAAGAACCACGCAGGTTAGGGGCTATGATGATCACATAACTTCTGCTTATAGTTAATCTCTAATCGTACTACATGTGTAATATGACCTTAAATATAACCTGTTTGCTTTCTTAGTTGATTTAGCTTGCTGCCTTGGAATTTCTCAATTAACTACGCGAACGCTATTCTGAAAAGAACTTATCAGCGGGCGCTTGATCTCGCGTCGCCGCAGCAGCAGACTCAGCCTCGTTTCTACTGTATTCTTTGCTCCAACACCACCCAAGTTCTCGGCGAGGCCCAGTCTCTTTGGACCACAAGGCTGACTTGAGCAATTTTAGCTTTCCTCAGATGTACAGATATCTATATAGCTGAGGGAGTGTGTGCTATGATCGATGAGTCACGATATAAATTGAAGAAACCCGTCAAGCTTGATACCACTTAGGATATTTGTCACAACGACAAGCTTGAATTCCACACTTCGACAAAGTCATGTCTAGACCCAAAATAATTATTGCGGAAGACGGGATTTCCGGCGACCATGAACTGCCAGAGGAAACGCAGGCTCCAGAAGGTCCTAATTTCGAGGTTTCGACGATTGTGGAATCCCCCGCCTTCAAGTTTTTCAGCAGCCTTTTCCCGGCTGTTAAACTAAATGATCCAGGGTTTCAAATCATCAAGCCGGATGATGGTCCAGCTGATGTTTTGCTTTTGAAAGACATCTTTGCTTCTTCGAGGGACCTGGAAGCCTATATCAAAGAAGCGAGGGCCGAAGTGATACTCTACCATATGTCAAACCAATCGAATGATCAAGCCACATTGGATTTAGCACGCAAAGGACTCTTTATCAAAGATGGCGTGCATGATCCCGAAAGCCTTGTCGTGGTTGTTACAGCCGAAGGTCTTCGAGCACAGGGGATTGCACTATCTCGCAGTCTGTCTTGGGAGAAGACCTGTGAGGAATTTGTAGGCAAGCTCGGCTCCGTTGGATCATTGGTGCATCTTATAACTTGCGCTCATCTTGTTGTGCTCTACGATTGCGATGGAGCCATTTATCACCGTGGGTCCCGCGGTGATCAGCCGGTATTGTTTTTCGATTCCAGAAGCATAGAAGGCGAGTTCGCTCAACGAAACCCGGGATCCGAAGGCATGTCTACAGATGCCTTCCTGCTCGGGCTCGCCGCAAAATTGGCAGAGAGGATCGCCGGTGGCTATCAAGATATCTCTGCCGCTATTGAAGACGGAATCAAGTCTGGTCTTTCCATGAACCGGCAATTATTAACTTCACAATCGCAATGGAGGGACACGTACGACAATTTGAGATGCGATTCGATTGTGAGGTTCGCAATTCCCTCGGATGATCTTAGCAGAGGCTCCAATCTCAACTGGTCCATTCTAGACTATACCACTGGCAACCTCGTCGAAGTGGCTCGACAGATTGTCAAAAAGGGCGTGAAATCAACGAGTGCTGACGTCCCATTTGCTCTCTTCAACGACCTAATGCTCGTGGATCGTCAAGAAGTTGAAATGTTCCGTGCCGTCTCTAGATTACTTCACAACTATCTCACAGTGCCGAGTCTTACGAAGCCTCTTAACGTGGCAATTTTCGGGCCTAAGGGCTCTGGAAAGTCGTTTGCGGCCATGCAAATGTCAAACTCACTAAGCAAACTGGCTCGGATAAAAGGGTTTGAGATTGAACAATTTCATTTTGACTTTTCTCGTTTCATGAAATACGAAGATGCAGTAGCTGCCCTTCATCTCATGAGGCAGCATAGTCTCGGAGACAAAGTCCTGCCTGTTATGTTTTTTCGCGGATTTGATACCAAGTTATCACCACCATTGGCATTCAGAGAGTGGATTCCTCATCTGCTGAGTTCCATTCTCCAAGGGCAAATCTGGTGTCAAGGTCTAAATTTACTGATTAGGCGCTCTGTCTTTTTCTTTGAATCAACAAGATTCAGAACCTTGGAAGAATTTAGAAGTAATTTAACAGATACAGACAGCAATAGTTACCTAGAAACAGAAGAGTTCCTATCCCATTTCCATGGATTTATCAACTTGCTCGGTCCGGATTGTGTGGACGATCATGACGAGTTATATCCGGTCCGCAGGGCAGTTATTCTTCGAAGTTTACTAGAAGAAAAAGCACCAAAACTTATTGAAGAAAAGAAGGAAGTAAAAGTTGATAAGAGGGTCCTTGATGGGCTTCTAATCACTCCTCGCTTTCGACAGGGGATTCGATCACTCAAGGCTATTATCGAAATGAGCAGTTTAGGCAACGCTGATCATTTCCAACTATTTCACCTTCCACCAGAAAGTCAACTAAACCTGCACGTTGACTATCATGCATTTGAAAGATGTATGAACGGCCAGATCCTGCCTGATGACATCCGTGAAGTGCTTGCCGAAAGGCTGAACGATGTCTACTTGCAACAGCGCTTGAAGTCTGCTTCGAGCAAGGCTGAATTTGAAGAGATCCGCGACATGGAATGGAATTACTTGGACGAAGAACGCAGAGAGTCCACAAGAATACACGCAGATACTATACCCGGCAAACTACAGCTTGTGTCCTGTTTTCTTTCCAAGACTCGACCGCATTACCGAGCTACTGTAGTCCAGGAGTTTGAAAAAGACGAAGTCGAGCTGTTGGCCGAGGCTGAGCATGATCGATGGAATACAGAGCGGCTGCAAAAGCAATGGCGACTTGGCCCGAGGAAGCCGGAAGAGCGTCAAAGCCCTTTTCTGGTGCCGTGGAGTGAACTCTCGGAATACGGTCGTAATCTCGATCGTGCGATGGTTGCGTGCTATCCCAGGATTCTGCCACCGGGATATGCAATCTATCGGCTTGGAGGAACTGCAGAGAAGAAAAGTACCTAGGTACCAGATAACCATCATGAACTTGTTTGTACTCCTTCCGTAGGATAAACGATATAAATGACGTGTCCTCATCATTCATCATAATAAACATAACGTTGTATTATATTACGTAAGTTTGTCTTTAGGTAGCTCCCTGTCAATTCATTTAGCCTTACGTGCCCGAATATACTGTCTCTCAGACCAACTCAGCCATAACGCCCACGATGCCAAAACCACCACGGTCAGCGGAACGGTAATAGCAAAATAAATCCAAATGTCGCGAGAGACTACCACACCAGTGGCAGTCCAATTGAATACCGTCATGCTAAAGATAGTCTTTTGATTTTCCTCCCCTCCAAGTTGGCTTCACATTAGCATTCAGACCGAGCAGGAGGTGATTTTATGCCTAAACATGTATTAGATGATTACTCACCGCGACGAAATTCCCTGGGAGGAATATCATTGTGAGAAGCGCAATCGTTTTCATAAACGTGCCATCTTCACGAGCGGATTCTGCTGCCCTTGCGGAGCTTTCTGCGATCTGATAGGTATTCCGCATTAGCCGCCCTCCATTACATTGTAGCAGATTGAAAGGGAAAAACTCACCAATATGTTTATTTGGCTATCAATCTAATAATAAGATTATTTTGTGTTAGCTAGATACCTAGGAGAAATTCCGAAACAGCAATAATCGGAGTCCGAGTCACCTACCATCTCACATTGAGCCTTTATGCTCCAAGGAGTCATATCCAGATCATGCTGAATTGCCTGCAGCATACTTTGCTGAGTCATGACATTCTGCTTTGCTATCTCAGAGTGCACTTCGAGACAGTTCTTGTTGTTGGTGCGGGTCGTTATTATCTCAAACGACCGGAGCAGAGTATCGGCTAACTCTTTGGCAAATAGCCATCGTCGATGCAACATTAGATGTGATTTTTCTCTCTGGAAAATCTTCTCTCGGATTAGAACCAGATGTTCGCGAGATGGGGTTTTCATATTTATCTCATTATCCGCGACGATGGTGCTTCTCAGTTCAAATAGGCTTCTCCTTAGATGTTCCACCTGCCATCTCAGGATCCATGTGGGCAGTGCCATGAAGTCAGGGGATCGATGTGGCTCGTGGTAGTCAGGTGGAAATACATCACGAGTGAAGATGGATTCGAGATCAAAATCAGCACTAGCAAAAAAAAGACAAACCCAGTCGAACGACCTTGAAATGCTGTTGCCACTGCTAGGGCTGGCAGTTATGCTGCCAGCCGACGTGGATAGCTGGGTGAGAGCAAAACTGAAAAAGGGCATGTCATCCCGTGGAGTTTGCGCCATTAGATCTAACCTGTGTCAGTAGCATATTTGATATGTATGTATATACAAAGCAGGGAGATGAGGTGTTGTTTGCCTTACGAATCTTCTCTCTCATTTCAATCACCACTGATCCCGCGGCACCTTCTTGAATGAAGTAACGGAATTCTTCGTTGATCCAGCCGTATTCTTGAGCAGTTTCAATAAGGCTTGTTATTTGATAAAGTCTGTCAATAATGTGAGACTGGACAAATATAAGTTTCAATCGATTTTTTTCCATATTCAAACGCTTGTCCGTCTGTATGGTACTTAGTGATTGTTTCCTTCTTCCTCAAACAGAAATAGTTGGAAAGGAGGGACTACCAACCACAAAAGGTTTCCTGATAATGATTTCGGCATCTTCAACATTCAAGCTGGTTTTCCAGCGTATCGGCTTTCCTATCCGCCATCCCGATCTCTATAAATGTAACGCAAGATATGCTGGTTAGTTACTTACCCTGGTTTAAAAATGAAAACGCAAATCAAGTGAAAGCAGAGAATTAAATGGACATACCTCAATTATAGTAGCACTTGTCTCCAAGCTTCGAAATGACACTACCGGCTGTGTGAGAGAGTAACTGGCATCACGTTTATGCATTGGAAGCATATCTCTCGCTGATTTCTCTGTGTCGTATGACTCTATCAAAGCTGGTTGTTTCTGAACAAGGAGATTCATTTCTTGAAGGGCAGTAACATCTAGCTGACATAAATCTACCTGGGTATCTGATCGATACACCCACTATTTAGGTAGAAATGTTTGAGATGTGATGATGATAGCTTGGCTTAGTAGTAGCGGATGGTTATTAGAGAGTGCCGGATCAGGTGTCTTTTCTCATGAACAATATTCATCTCCATGAGGTTTTGATAATTTTCGGACGAGATGCTGTTAATCTGGTCGAAAACAAACGGCATTAGCCTCAAGGGCCAAGGCTGACCCATGACATTCTGTCGTTCCAGAACAGAGGGACGGGACGCCGTGGAGCTCACCGGCTTGGCAGGGCCCCACTAGACTAAATCGACGCGTGCAAGAAGAGCGAAAAGATTGCTCGAGCCTCATGGTGGAAATGACAAACAGCGTATCGCTGCAAAGTGCAAACTCTTTTTTCTGCAGTTTGGACCTTCTCTTTCTGTTCAAAATTTCTTCTCTTCAGGCGAGTTCCGCCCAGAACGAAGCCAAAATGAGCGATCCTGTGAGTTCGTCCGTAGTCTACAAGAGTACGGAGTTGTCGCTGCGGGTGCGCAGCACGAGTTAGCCAGCTGGTTACGAAGCAGAAAGTTTAGAGTTATCGGCCAAAATGCAGGATGTAGTAACTGCTCCGTGCGCTGACAGCCCATTAGTATCAGAAGAAATCCCACCTACAACCTGACCTCAGCCGCGCGACGTGCACTACTACAAACAGCTCCATATTTTGAAAATAATTATATGGACAAAGTACAGAGTACCAGTCAAATCCAACTTATAGTGTAGCTGAAGACGTTAGTCGACGGATCTGGCCTGCATGTATGAGCGTGTGCTAATCTGGGAGAAATTCCTGAATTGACTTAGTTCGCATAGCGATTGTATTCCACTGTTCAAGCGTTTCGGGCACACTACAACGAGAATGGAAAGGCCCTTATGCCTGCTACTGCGCAGGACCCGATCCCTCGCTGATAGATATATTATTTCTTCTGATGGTCGAAAACGAGTTCTCCTTGTGCCTGTTACTACCCGTTCGACGCCGCGGTCATTCGAATATGACTCACGTTCAAGGCCTCGTTCAATAAGATTGATTCCGTCATTCTAGGCATGGTGCGATGCTGTCATCAAATACCTATATATATTGTCCATGATTAGGCTTCATGGTTAGCAAAAGGACAGTGGATACTGAAGAAAGGACTTGACATCATGAACATCTTTCGCTCCCCAGCACAGCAGCGCAAGCGTGACCGTGAAAAGCCCTTAGCCATCTCGATAAACAGTAACGGCGGCCACAGATGGTCAGATTCCAAATTATCCGACGTTCACTCGCCGCAAACCTAAATAACGACTGCTAACGTATGAATGCATAATATGTCGAGGAGGCTGATGAAGAGCACGACAGGCAGGAGACTGTCAACCTAAACTTCGAAAACTTTGGAAGTATTTTAACTTGGACACATACCATGGCGACACAAGGTTGAAACCAAGGCGACTCGTTGTTCAAGCCAACCTCGCCGGGTGTACTCTAGAAAGACAGATGTGACTACACTCAACCAACGACATTAGTCGTAACTGGCGGCGTGGTATTGCTACCGTCATAGAAGATACGTCGACGAGTCGTGTCTGAATCCGCTAAGAGGCTCATTAACGATGACACGGAAAGTTAAAAATATCTGTGATGACTACCGAAAGGAGCAGTCAAAGGCAAGCCCCTAAGAAGCGTCTATCGATGTCGAATACAATGTCGACGATTTTCACACTGTGCTTCGCGTGGATCTGGCCATGATGTCACGGGGTTTAATAGCTGCGTCATAAAGCACTGCTAATATTCCCAAGACATACGATGGTTATGGAAACCTAGACTGGCATCGGCTAAAGCATGCGCTGAATCTCTGGATCAACGCCCCCGATAATAGCGGTATGCAGGGAGATAAGGCATATTTGAATCTGCCACTCAAGCCGGAGGTGCGGGTCGAGAAAGAACCAAGAATTACAAGAGAGACCAAAGATTCCGCATCCTCTGGCGGGAGCACGCGGGAGCAGCAACGCCTTAAGACTTCTCTCCAGCTACGCATTCGCCAGGCTCAGACATTTGTTCGACAAGCAGAGACATGGGTATCTCCACTATGTCGCAAGAGAATGATTGAAAACGAGAATATACAATGGCGCGAGATGCAATTCCAATCCACTGAGATTAGAAATTCAGGCGTATCTACAACAGGCTCGCCTTATATTTTGTTTACCATGGATGCATGATGCTGAACACTGGGTGCTGAAGCTTGTGGCAGGTTATTGCAGTCTCATTTCGCATTTCCTTTGGTGGAAATTCTGGGGACTCGGATAATTTCGGAAATTAGGGAGAATCCGTTGAGATTACCAAATGTGGTACTCCATACTAGCGAAATTTTGCTGTGGTATCTAGCCGGCGCGGCCATTCTGTTTGCCCTTGCTTGGGTCACATCTTCAGCCCGCTGGCGGTGCGGCAGCTATGCAATGTCGATGGCGGCGAAAGTCCATATCATTTGGTGGGTCGGATTCGAAGGGACGAGGAAATTGCACGAGATTGAAATTGCTAAGTATGGAAACTTTAACAACCATCTTCGCTATGTACCTTCATCGACGCTCTTCTCGAACAAACTACGGTATATCGAGACCTGGAGAGGCTGTGAGCCCTAGGCCCAAGAGTGGGATGAAATCCATGTCCAGGTCCTATCTGGCTAGTCGCTTGTTCACTGTTATCGATGTGGGCGACTGCGCGGTGTCGCTGATCTCCGTGCAGCGAAGCCCTGCTGTGGGCTCTTGTATGTGCGACAAGCCCACCTTCATTGCCATTGCCAATCGCCGAGTGCAGGAAATGATCTTGGAAAGTTAGTGAAGTTGTGGAGCCTACACAACGACAATGGAGGCTAGACCATGGCAATAGTATGATTGATTAGATTTCTGCGCCCTCGCCTGTCCTCAAAATATGGTGGATGTAACTTGTCAGGGGCAGAGTGGTGTATGTAGTACAGCGCGTGACGCCTGAAGAGGAAGGCGTGGGCGTATACACGTTACTAGCCGTATAGTACACTAAGCCAATAAGCACTAACGTAATTCCGCTGACCGGTGTGGGGTCGCGGCTTGAGCGAATCGGCAGCGACCGTAGGGAACACGGGTATTGTCACGTAATAAAAACGCCGCTTGTGCCAAAGGTGGAAGTTCGAGGACCCGGGAGACGGGCAGGCAGCAAGTTAGGCTCGGCCAATCAGCGCGCAGCTATTGACAACAAGCGTGCTCTGACTGCCAGCTGAGCGAAAAACCACCGTTTGGCGCGACCGCCACTAAGATACCCGCTGCCTGCGCTTACGTCTCTGTCTTGAGCTATCGAGCCAATCCAAGGCCCTTCGCGCAGTGCATCAAGGATTTTCGCTATATCCAGAGCCTTTCTTTCGTCATCCTCGACAGGTTTTAGCCATTCCCTCCGTTTTAGTTGATACGACGTGGAAACGGCGTAGTGTTGGCGAGACTTCCTACTTCCCCCGGCAAGGAAAGCGACACGCGGTTTCTCATCTTTCCCCTACGCTATTGCCCCTTGATTTGTGCGCCATTTTTTCTGTCTTCTTCTGAGGCGGCCTGACCAAGTACTGCCGAGACCATTTGTTGTTTTCTTGGGCTTGGCTGTCTAGGTTGAATCGTGGCCTTTGCACCAGTGACCAGCGAGCAAGGCCAGTGAGAATAGTGCTGGATCCTTCCATGTCTCTCTTGACCTTCTCTTTTCCTCTCCGTATCACTAGTGCTGGATCTGTAATCCAGACACAGGTACGGTAAATTTGCGGATTTCACGAGGCTGCCGTACAACCTTGAACGGCACATCGGCACGACACTCTGGTCCACGCCACCCACCGAAATCTCCGGATTTTCCCCTCAAACTCTGTCCTTGGCGTTGTCACAGCTTTCTGTTGGCCATTTTCATCTTCTCATCTTATCTTTTCACTCGCTTTGACAGTTTCATCGGCATTTTCGGAGGCTTCTGCACCAGCGTTGTCTCGAGCACCACGCTTTGAGTCCTTTACGGTGGAAGGGTTGAAGGGTTGCGTTTTTATGAACTTCCTCATCATCTTCCATTCGACCAAAAGTATTCAGTCTCGTTGGCGAAAGCTTTTCAGCCAGATGGCTGCACAACTGTGGTTGTGAAATTACTGCCCTACGAATCTGCCGAAGTTGATTATTAAGCGTTGCGACTCAGTCGAACTCACTGTTAGCATTACTCGAACCCTTCGACTGGTCTTGGGATATCAACGCCGTTGAATTAATATTGTCCTCCTGTTTCGCCACGCTTACATTCCTACATCAATAGATGGAAATTTCGACTGCCCTCAGCCTTGAGAGACCCGCCCTTCCAGCACCGTCAGTTGAAGATTTGGACGCAGCACAGCAACTGTTCTCATCAGCCCGTGGCATGCGCCCGATACTAGCTTTTTCTCAGCAAGATAGAATAGCTGTGCAAAGTGATGTAGATTGGAAGACTGCCAACAAGCACAACATGTCAGACGCAATGGATATGACTCCAGATCAAACATCAGAGGCTGGGGACACTGCTCACCATGCATCTACGGGACCAAACCGATCAGCGAAACCGCCTGGGGGCAGGGATACCGCTTTTCTTGGTCATTCTTGCAGGTAAGAAAAGTGCTCGCGAAGTTCGTAGCCGAAGAGTCTCAAGCTAATACCTTTCTAGCAATTGCGGTACTAAAAGCACACCTCTGTGGCGGAGATCGCCAACTGGTGCAACAATATGTAACGCCTGCGGGCTTTACCTCAAGGCTAGAAATGTTCACAGACCAACAAAGCGCAGCCGAAATCGTCCACAACCAACGTCGGCATCCGGCCCGAACCTAGAAACTTCAAGTACTTCTCCAGCATCGACATCAGGATTGGCAGAAGGTGGTTGTGGTTCAACTGGATCGTGTCCTGGCGGTGGAAACTGCAATGGAACTGGCGGTGCTGAGGGATGCGATGGATGTCCAGCTTACAACAATCGGGTTTTTAAAGCCGCGTCACGATTACCTCCGAACCAGCCCTTGCAGCCGCAGCCACATGCTATTGCTGATTCAGAAAAATCATCATCCAACGCGGGAGAATCTGAATCAAATATTCCTGGTCAGGAAAGTGGAGAGCTCCTGGTTGCGTGCCAGAACTGTGGCACTACAGTGACACCACTATGGAGACGAGACGAGAATGGCCACCCGATCTGCAATGCTTGTGGTAAGTAAGATGTAATGGGGCTTGTTTCTGTCTTGTAGACGAATATTTCACACTAATATATGATCCAGGCCTATATTATAAGCTCCACGGGTGTTATCGACCGACAACGATGAAGAAATCAACTATCAAGCGACGAAAGCGAGTGGTTCCCGTCTTGCGTGATCAATCACCAGGTGCCACAACGCAGTCTTCAGGCGAATCTTCCATGTCTCCAGAAGCCCACCCAGCCCGGCTCGCGCATTCATTCGACAGACCGGTTTTGGCACCACCTCCGGTCGACTTTACAGGATATAATATGCATGCGACCACTCTCCCTCATCACCCTGCTCCTCGGTTTCCAGAATTACAATCAACCTTCCGGCGTCAATCGCATTCTCCAGGTGCAGCATCTAGCAGGGACGGTGACACACTGCCGCCTATAGAGTCATCCAATCAACTCCCCCCTATCATGTCTCAAACCTACCCTACACCTCCAGCACGGCTTAGCCCTATATCCTCGATTTTGAATCCTGCAGCCAGTGCAGGAGATAGCGGCAAAATACCCACGGGTGGTTATCGCCAATCGCAGTCACCTCCCGTCTCTTCCACGGGCCAGCCGGAAGCTTATAAGTTTGATCGCCGGTTGCAACTCCAACGTGAGGCCGAGCTCATGCGCGAGGCATTGAAAGCAAAAGAACGTGAATTGGCTGAGCTGGAACATCAAAGATAATGTATCATACGTACGACAGTTACGATTTTCATTCCTATTCCTTTATATGAATTGATTAGATTATACCCTCGGGTGGTGTCCCGGTTCCTCTTTCTATCTCCCCTTTGCTGTCATGTATGCCAGCTCAGTTTACTGGTTCAGAAGTTATGAAACAAAAGCATAGGAGGCTTATTGCTGAAAATCTCGAATTCTTTTTCCCTGAATTATGCTGCGATACTACCTAGCGCGAACATAGGCATCTGATGAGAATCATCCCGATTTGTCGATATATTTAGAGTTAGTATGTCATTATGAGGTAGCATAATAAATTTTTGGAAATGGCAGAACAGTATTTAACTATTAGGACGACGACTGTGCAAATCCGAGGCACTATCTTTCTCAAGATCTTTCCTAGTCTTTCATTTTTTGAATCCAGCAGACAACAGACACAAGATGGCCACTACTACACCTCCTCCATCAAGGGAATACAACATCAACTTCACAGGCGACGTCATGCTCGGCCGACTCATCGACCAACTATTCCCAACACACGTCTCTAACGCCGAAGACGAATCCCACATCCAAGCATTCCGGTCCCGACACGCAGACACATTAGGCTTAACAAAGTACACCCCTCAAAGCCCCTGGGGCACAACGCTACCACTCTTCACCAACGAGGGCGAAGGCGACCTGAACATGATCAACCTCGAAACCTCAATCACAACATTCTCAACCCCCTGGCCGGACAAGGCATTCAATTATCGAATGCACCCGGCCAATGCAGCGCCCATCCTAGCCGCGGCAAATATTGATTTTGCCTGTCTCGCTAATAATCACACCCTCGACTTCGGCACCGAGGGACTTGTCGAGACGGTCTGGACGCTGAAACATTTAGAAAGGCATCGTGTCGCTATTGCAGGCGCTGGCGAAACTACTCTGGAAGCCATATCTCCAGCCGTGCTCGAACTACCACGTAGCAAGAGTCAAAGGGGCATCAAACATGGCGGCCGGCCTGGTCCATTGTCTCGTCAGGATTTAGATGAGAGAAATGACTTTGACGATGGTGGGCAAGGGGGAAAGGGGAAACATCTGGTTCATGTCTTTGCAGCAACGGATCATCCGCAGGTGTGGCGCGATATCCCGACTTTTCATCTGATTGATTACTCGGATCGATGTCGCGAGCATCTGAGACGGTTGATACGGAAATATTCGCTGTCGCCGGATAATCCGGAAACAAATGGCGCGCTTCCATCGCTGAAGATATTCTCTGTGCACTGGGGGCCGAACTATCGGTGGCATCCGAGGGACGAGATTCGGTCACTCGCTCATTTCCTGCTCTTTGAATGCGGCATTGACATTGTCCACGGCCACTCGTCGCATCATGTACAGGGGATTGAGTGTCCCGCGCCGGGAAAAGTTATCATATATGGCTGTGGAGACTTTGTGGATGATTATGCGCTCAACAAAGAGTTCAGGAATGACCTCGGCGCGTTGTACAGAGTTGTTGTGCGCGAAGAACTTGGTGAGAATAGCAGCAGTAAGAGAAAGGTGAAGCCGGTAAGGTTGGAGATTTTTCCAACAAGGATAGACCATTTTCAGGCCCATTTACTTAAAGCCGGAGACAACGATCATGAATGGGTTGTGAGACAGATTGGGTCATTGACGGACGAGTTGATGCAGTCTAGCAGTAGCTACGGACATGAATACAACGGTGCTGAGGGTACGAGTATTATACGGCCTGAATTAGGGGGGAGAGGACAGCTAATCATTGATTTGGTTTGATTAAGTTTATCAACAAATTAAAATAGTTGTTACGATGAGAAGACCACTGCTTGAAGGATAGATTGCTACTTTTTGCAATATCGATAAAAGATGGTCCCAAGCAATATCCCACCTATTGATTCAGCCTAGAGCTTATGTACATGATTCACCTCCTAGGCTTGCGTTCCTAGACAGACCAACAAATGCTAAATGTGGTCGTCAAGCGCAAAAACTAACGACTGCAAAAGAATAGATAGATGATAGAAACGCCAAACACCTCGCCATGCATCATGCTTGTTGTCATATCATTTGCGCCACTCGCCTAAAAATGCTCACAAAACTCCCAATTATGCTCATGTCGTCGTTTCTCGTTACAAGTCTGCGATGCAACGCAACGCAATGCAATGCAATGTTATGTTGCGTCAATGCCCATGCTGAGGCAATAGCAGGTAAATGTCTTTGAAGTTTAAAAATAGAGAGGAAAGTGAAAACACTCAAGTTATTCTTCCTGCTTGACAACGATTTCGCTCGAAACGGTTGAAGCACTGTCGGTCTCGCTGCGCATGCTTCTTCCGAGTTTACGTGGTCGTAGCTTGCGGCCTGCCTCTTCCTCGGGCTGGTCTGATTTCTCTGTGGGCACGGGGCTGATATGCTCTGCCACGGTCTGGGAATTGACTCGCAATCGTAATGATACTAGATCCGGCTTGTCTTGGTTGCCAAAATTGATGCCGACAGTGACCTTGGGCAATATACGACGCTTCTGCTCCCGTCCACGCTGTCTGCGTACAGAAGTCCCAGAGCTCTCGCCATCACTGTCTGCAGAGCGTTTGCTGGCCGTACTGTGTCGCGATGAGGAGCGAGACGACATCAGACGAGGCTTGAAAGCTGTTGGAATACCTGATTCGGGTATCTGAGATTTAGATTGATTCTGGACTGTCGATGTGCTTGATGCGGTTGTTGATGATGTTTGGGACGATGCGGCTGAAGTTGCGGACGAGACAAATGAGGATGCCGATGATGATTCTTCGTCCAGTAAGTTGGCAAACGCACGGTCAATGTCTCCCCGGCACCGACGGAGCATTTCCACAATAGCGTCATGGTCATACTGGCCTCCCAGCCCTTCCTGTATGCATGAAATTTTCCAGGGCGTGACGCGGTCGACGACTACCGGATTGGTGGTCACTTCTTTGGGATTCACGTTCGGAAGTCCTTCATGTGGACCGTCTACATTGCGAACTGACGAGTAATGAACGTTATTCTGTAACTTGTCAGTATTAACTAGCATAAACATAATATTCATGAGTACAAGGTTGCGCACGATGTAAGCAAGGTGCAGGAAGCTACGATATTCGCCTTCAGGGGCATCCACAGCTCGAAAGTCCTGCACCTGGGACTCGCTATAGACTCGAATGTCTCGCTTGTAGTATTGACAGCACGCCTGTAGCTCTTCCGCACCACCCCAGATATAGTTGGTTGCCGTACGCGTCACCATGCCTTGGAACGCGTCTTCGATTTCGCTCGGAGTTGGCGAGGGACTCATGATTGGGGCTGTCACTACTTTGCGCTGCACAGCACGTTTAGAGCGTCTTTCGCCTCCAATGACAACGGCAAATCCCGAAAAGTAATCACGGTTGGCTCCCATATGGGCTGACAACTTATCGCGTATTTCGGTCGCGTGATCCCAGTCACCGTACAATTGATCGGATAGAGCATAGTAGAGGCAATTGCCTAGTGATTGTTAGAATGTCAGCTACTCCTGATAAAACGGCATGCTCAAATAAGATTGCACGCACCGTCGCCTTTTGTTTGAAAGGCATACAACCCGCGCACTTCCAATGTCTCTAAATTGGCATTGAGACCGTCTAAACCGAGGGCCTTGGTCTGGGAACGTGTCGTTCGACCGGAGGATGCAGGCCTTGGACCGGAGGATGCCTTTTTGGTGGCGGGCCTGCCTTTGGATGTTGGTGTTGGAGTCCTTGTTGTTGCTGTAGCGGTTTGGTCGGCCATGATGGGCACGATCCTGCTTCGGTTAGCCGGCGCGTCAGCCATGGTTGCAGGAGCTGTCGGCCCAGTGAAGTGCCCTCATTTGGCACAATCGAGAAACAGCGAGAAGGGACAGCACGGCAGATAATAGATAAGAGTCACAGATAACGTAAAATAGGAGAGGCAGAGAAGGGGAGGAGAAAGTGAGGGAGTGAGAGCACGCATCGACCAGGGGCGGCGGCGGCGGCGGTGGATTTCAGGCGGTGGAGAAACGCAAGGAGCACCGTTTCTTTGCCATCTGTCTCTTTTCTTTGCTTTTTTTTTTTTCTTTTTCTCTCTCTCTCTCTTCTGTCTTCAGCCGAACCTGGCCTGTCCCGGCCTGTCCTATGCTCTGCTTGTGCCTGGTGTCGAGAGCAAGCAAGCAGGGGAAAAAGAGAGGCAGGCTCGAAGTAAAACACAAATAACGCAGACTTACGTTGTTGGAGTGGTTGATGTCACCGGGCGGTGTGGGTTTTTCAGGCAGAGTTTTCAGGCAGATCAGATCTCGCAGCCAATAAAAGTCCGTCCGTCCACGGCAGCTTTGAACTGACCGTCGATTTGGATTTGGATTTGGATTCTGCGACTTTGCGATGCCAAAGCTCAAGTAACTGCTGAGAGGAAAGGAGTTGGTGATTTGGGAGGAAGAGGCAAGGCGAGAGGCCTTTTATACCGTCAGACGAGACAATGGGACATGCATCTGCCTATTGCCAGCGTATGCCTGAAGTCAATGGAGGGCTTCCTATTGATGTCTAGCCACCAATCCAACAATCAGGGTCCATTCAATTGTTGATGATCCTGACCTTCGCGCTAGTATTCTCACCAATGCGAAAGGTCGTCGTGACTGAAGAACAAACGGAGTCATCCGTCGTCTTGGTGCTCGCAATTTGGAAAACTCACTGGCTTGTTTGCAACCAGTCATGGGAACTCGTGTATTTGTTGCTTTTGCGCAGGCCAAAGCATTTCAAAGTCAAGCTTGCTCCGGGCCCTGGCATGATATCATATCATATACGAAAATGGTCTCGCCCTTACTAGATACGCTCGCCTTTCTGGAGCATGCCAATTGGCACTGTGGACATGTTCCAGAAACTCGTCGTAGCATAGACGATACTTGGCTCTTGAATGGCTCATCTATCTTTGAGGGGAGATGTTATTGAAGCTTAAATCCAGTGTATCACAACTCACCATAACCACAGGGAAAGATCATATCTTGAATAGCACGGTTTTTATCAACTTATGTGTGATTTAGCAATTCATTGGACTTGTTCTACAATATGTAAACTGCAGGTGAAATCTTCACTGGTTCGGTATAACTATTTGATTACGCTCCTCTATTCTGGTTCCAGAAACTCAGCAGCCAGTCGCTTCATTGACCAAAAATCCTTTCCAGGTAGTTCAACCAGTTCTCCCCAAGAACTTTGCGCATTTTCTCTTCAGACCAGCCTGCTCTAGCCATGGCTTCGGCTAGCTTTTCGCGCTCTGCCAGTGGACCTAGAGGCTTGACGACCTGCTGACTTCCCCATGGAGTCAAACTGCGAGCATATCCCTTGTCCTTGTTACACCAAGCCATAAACTCACTCGGTCGGCCATGGCCCTCACTTGAATCAGATCCAATACCAACTAAATCTTCTCCAATCAACCCAATAACATAATCCAGCGCAGCAACGTAGTCATCGATAGTACTATCATTGCCTTTGGCCATGTGTGGTCCAAACTGTGAAAGACCAACAAAACCACCCTTTGATCCAATAAGCTTGATGAGATGGTCGGACTTATTCCGAGGGTGATCCTTGAGCCCCCCGGGTAACACGTGTGAGAAACACGGCGGCTTGCTGGCATAATTAATGGCGTCCTCGCTGGTTTTGGGGCCTACATGGCTCAGGTCAAGCACAATTCCGAGTTTGCTCATCTCGTCAACAACTTCGCGTCCAAATCCAGTCAGGCCGGAGTCGTTTAACTCGGTATAACCGGCCCCTGAGTAGTTCTGTGTGTTGTACGTGAGCTGCATCTTGCGCACGCCGAGGTCACGAAACACGCGTAGATAGTCCAGTTTGTCTTCAATCCCAGCCGTATTCTGCCAAGAGAGCAAAACAGCCGTCTTGCCATCGCGTTTGGCCTGCCGTATGTCTGCCACTGTGTGAGCCTGAACGATCAGGTCGGAGTGCTGCTCAAACCATTTTTTCCACTGCACAACATTGGCAATGGACTCTCTGAAACCCTCCCATAACCCGCACGTGCACGAAACTCCGGTAATGCCACCTTTATTCCAGGCCTCGAAGATATCTCTCGACCAGTTGGCTATATTCAGGCCGTCAAAATGAATGGCCGATTTATAGATCTGCTGAGCCTCGAACGCGGACACCATTTCGACGGATTCTTCCACAGCAAGGGCTCTCGAAGTAAGGTTTCTCGTCTACGGACACAATATGATACTATTATAATAGAGACTGTCATTCGTTTATTAAATCTCCCAAGTCAAATCGGAGCCTCCGACAGAGACCTGCCAAAAGCGGTAAGGCGTAGGGCTTCTGGAGATCACGCCAAGAGCGAGCAATCGTCAGCGGTGCAAACGCTGCAAACAAGCGTATCATGGCCATCGAAGGAATAGAACCACAGACAGCTATTCTTCGCAGTCAGGATTCGCCATGGAGAGGCGGGGTTCTCGCTGACGATGAAGAGCGCATTTCAGACGTTTCGCGTATCCAAGCCTCCCCAACGAAACGGCCGCCGGGCACAATCACAATCCACCACAACTCCTGAGCAACTAGACTCCGAGTCAACGACCCCAGAGGACTCCGAGACATTTGTACGCTACCCTACGCAATCCGCTTGTGAGCGGTGTCGGCGATTGAAGAAGAGGTGCACCCGGACGGCAGAAGGGGCATGTAGCCTATGTGTTGCTGCTTGGGTACCATGCTCGTTTCCCAAGTCTGTCCAGCAGGTTCACGAGCGCGAGAAGGCGCTTCAGGAACGCATTTCATGGCTCTCTCGCTTTGTCAATGAGGTCCGACAGTCCAGTGCGGTGCCCGTTGAGTTGATTGAAACCGGCCACGAGCTCACAACAACTCTAAGTGTTATTCAGTCTCCTGTCACTACCGAACAGGTACCGGCTGTTAGAGATCATCCTTGGTCTGAGAACACTCATGGACAAGGATCCTCGATCAATGTTGGAGAAACGGAGAGAAACACCACACCGCCATGTCTTCTCGACAAAGCCACAGCTTCGCGTCTAGTAGACGCATACTTTCGTCACGTTCATCGTGCCTACCCATTCCTAGATCGAGAGCAAGCGATACAGTCCCTGGACTCTTGCTTCCTATCGGCCACCGGTGACACCGTTCTCCTGGAAATAGCACGTCTACCCACTCGCCTAGCTGTTGTTATGGCTATTGGACGCACGACACTGCAGCGAGTGAACGAAATTGGTAATGCCTCAGTCCCCTTTTTCGACATTCCCGAGAAGGAAATTATCCACGAATGTTTGTGTAAGAGCGATCTCGCATCTGTAGAGATCCTGACTTTACTCGCCTTGTACTCCCTTTTCGAGGCCAACCGTATACCACCAGGTTCCATTACAGGAATCCTTACTCGCAAAGTCATATCCATGGGCCTTATTCGAGACAGCGGCTCTTCCTATGAGATGTCACAAGTCGAATTGGAGCGTCGCCGGCGACTCTTTTGGTCTGTGTATATCTTAGATCGTATGATCAGTGTTTCGTATGGTCTTCCGCCCAGCATCAACGATGAAGATATTGCCGTTCCGCTGCCAAGTATCACTGTCGAGGAATATGCGTCTCCAGATCGGTATTTCTATGCCATGACGCTACAGGTCAATCGGCATGTTGTATCTTTACGACGCCTTGAGGGGGAAATTCTGCAGAGTATCCACCTATCATCCTCACAGCGACTGGCTGCGATTGACCCTTCCATGTCAACATCCTATTATGAGGACACTCGCCGGAAGATAGACGACTGGTACACACAAGGATGCCTCATGTCGAGTTCCGCCATGAATGATAATGACCATCTCCCTTTTCGTAACACTATTACCTGGCACAATGTACGGTATCAGAATCTCTACGTGCTGCTATATAGCCCCTCAAGGTTCAGCGTTGCACGTTCGGTGGAGGAAATTGAAGAGCTGCAATCGGCTGCATCAAAGTATGTGCAGTCCAGTCTCATCTTGCAGCAGCAAAACCACCTTCCATTTAACTGGATCACTTTATGTCGATTCTTGATGATGGGTGCCACCTTTTTCTACTGCTACGTATGGCGGCTCAACCATGTCACATCTACAGAGAGCGTACACATTCAGAGTAAACATAACACGCAAGCGTCTATCTTGTCATCTGCATCACCCCGATCCACGTCAGGAGGTAAATCAAGCCTGTATGAAATCGCAAACGATATGGCCCTATGTGCCACGATCATGGAATCTTTCTCGGAAGACTGGCGAGCTGCCAAGCGGGCGGCAGCTGTCTTTCGACGATTCGTCGATTATGTAGCTGCACAACAATCTACACCTTTTGTGGAAAGCGGTACCCGTGCTGACCAAGGCCTTGAATCTTTGAGCCGGCATTATGATCCCGTTCTCGATGCCGTGATGGCAGCCTCGGTCCTGGATGTTTCCCTGGATGACGAGCAGTTGATTTCGCTGCAGACAATCCGTAAACAAATTGAGGAGTTGATCAAGGATACCCTTGGAGAGACCACCATATATGCCTATGCAGTAAGAGAATTTGAGTCGACGGCCGGACTGGTGAAGAATGGCGTCGGGCCCAGGATGTTTCCCTCCGAGACCTATAGCAGGGCGTCCATTGAGTTCCCAAATCCAAACGTCGCAGCAGATAGGTCCAGCTTGTGGCTGGACATTATGGACGATCTAGGTCTCGGTGTTCTTTAACAGCAGTATCTACCACTACTTCTTCTACCTTGGATGTTCTGATAGTCAAACAGGTACGCCTATAGCAGTGTGTAGTTACGAGGCACCTTTCTCTTCCTCCTTGTTCTTTACTCTTAATAGGCCATTGGGATCCATTCAATCAACATATAGACCTCCACGATTAATCTTAGTCAGTTGAATGCCCCTATGAGGATAGTCGATAAGGAATCAACGTGGCGGAACCGCCGAGACACTAGGGTTTTGATCCGCTCAATACGGAAAGAGAAGTCGGAGGTGCTCCGACTCACGACGCGCAACAAGATTTAACTCTGCGTAACGACCAACCGAAAGCATGGAATGATGCTGTTGAACTCATCCCTAGCATTGATGTCGCAATCGCGTTGTCTGTTTGATATGGCTGTCGAAGGCGATTCAAGACTTCGCAGCTAGTACTTAAAGATGCGAGCAGATCCAGAACTTCTGCTCTGGCAGCTCACATTTGCAGATTTCTGCCTCTAGCCAAAAAAGACATGTCGCTGCGAGACGTCGAAAGCAAGTCGGTCAAGCATACGGTCACTACTCCTTCAGAAAGCGAAGATGGTGATCAACCTCCCCGGCGTTTGCCTCTCGGCAAGAGAATCCTAGGCACTGTCTGGGACTCGCTGGACAAGTCCCCGGAAGAGAGGAAGTTGATTGCGAAGCTCGACTGGTGGATCCTTTCCTACGTGTGTGTCGCGTATTTTATCAAATATCTTGACCAAACCAATGTGCGTTACCTTTGTCCTTTTCGTTGTATCTTTCAAGGTCTGGGCGTCATACTGATTGATTTTCCATTTCGACTTCACAGGTCTCAAATGCATATGTCTCTGGCATGAAGGAAGATCTCAACCTACACGGAAATGACTTGAACTATCTTACCACTTACTGGACCATTGGATATATCATCGGGAATCTTCCCTCTCAAATCATTCTGACCAAAGTCCGCCCGAGCATTTGGCTGCCCACCCTGGAAATCATCTGGAGCATTCTGGTCATTGGCATGTCCGGCGCTAAAAATGTCACTACAATCTATACGTTGCGGTTTTTTACCGGATTGCTCGAGGCATCTGCTTATCCGGGAATCATGTCACTTCTCGGATCATGGTATACGCCTGCAGAGCTCGGCAAACGCAGCTGTATTTTCCAAGCTTCTTCTAGTGCTGCGCAGATGTTCTCCGGCTACCTTCAAGCAGCCCTCTACAAGGGCATGAATGGCCGTAATGGATTGTCAGCGTGGCAGTGGCTTTTCATTTTCGATGGCATCATCGGAATTCCCATCGCTCTGTACGGGTATTGGGCTGTGCCAGACTCGCCATCCAACACGCGCAGCCGATGGCTCACGCCAGAAGAAAGGGAGCTTTCCATAGAAAGAATGAAAACCGCTGGACGTGCCCCTCCCGGGAAACTGACAGCTCGCACATTCCTCGACGTCGGGCGTACCTGGGCGGCATGGTTATTCTCTCTATTGTTCATTGCACACGTCTGCGGCATCCGCATCTACTCGTATTTCAACGTATGGCTGAAATCAACACACCGATGGAGCGTGGAACAAGTCAACCTTATCCCCACAGCTGGCTATGGAGCTCAGATAGTATTCACACTGTCCTATGCGTGGGTAAGTGATGCGTTGCAAATGCGATGGCCCGTGGTCATTTTCGCGGCAACCATCGCACTTATTGGAACTATCATTCTTTCTGTGTGGCCAGCAGAGAATATCCCCGCCATGATGACGGGATGGATCCTTACTTTCCTGGAAACTGGAGCCGGCGCTTTGATTATTGCCTGGATCAATGAAATCTGCGCTTACTCGACAGAGCACCGCATCCTCATCATCGGCTTGGTAGAGACAATGTCTTTCACCTTCAATGCATGGGTGCCTCTTTTGGCATACAACACGTCGCAGTCCCCTCATTTCACTGTTGGATACAAGCTGGCTGCTATGTTTTTTGCCCTGGAGATTGTTTTGACCTTGGTGATCGCCTATGTTGCAAAGCGATGGAACTTGAAGGAGCAATATCTCAAACGGGAGGCCTCTAGGCGAGCACAGGGGGAACAACGGGAATCTTCCAATGGTATATATGATACCTATCCCTGACAATAGATTTAGAATGATACAATTTGCCGTGAAAGATTTACACTTGACACAACCACTTAATGGAGTATATAATTTTGACTATAAGATTTTCTATTAAGCATATAGACTACCCACATATGAGCCTTGTCTTAGGTCTTACAACTTGTTGTGGGAGTAGATCACTAGTCCAATCGTTATTGGTACCAGATCAAGTCTGTCAAAATCTGCCCAGGAATTCGAAGATAGAACCGTATGTACACAAGACAGTCTACTTAGTTCAGATGTCGTTACTTACAGCCCATCATCGGCCGCTTCCGGCTGACATGCTCCATTCTATGGCCCATAACCGACAGATCAACGAAAAGAGAATTAATGATGCTTATATGTAAATTCTGATTACAACTAATAAATACTTTGTTTGGGTTTGTCCAAATACGGTCATATCTTATCTATCTTATCGTGATATGTTCCACGATAAGATCTGGCACGCTCATCACAACGTCATCTTCAATCATGTGATCACATATGTCAAAATAACATTCAATTCAATTCAATTCGACTTGGCACTCGAATTGAAGACAAGACACACCCTGCAGAAAGAATACCAAAAAGAAACGAGCGCAATGGTTCAAACAAGATCCAGTCAGCCTTCGGCGGCAAGTGAATCGAAGCCCAAGACCAAAACAGTCAAGAAGAAGGGCGCCGTCAACAGCACTCAAAGCGAGTCCAAGAAGAAAGTCAATGAGCCAATTTCTGAGAATGACGCAGAAGCAGCTACAACGGTGCCTGAGAAACGCAAGCTAGATGATGAAGACGAGCAGCCACGTCCGAGCAAGACGGCCAAAGAAGACGACGGGGCAACAAACGGCCTCCAGGATGAGAAATCTATAGAAGACAGAAAGGAAACAAAAGAAGTCGAGCCTACCGTTGCACACAAAATTGCCAAAATTATCGACGAATACGGCACTATGCCTTTGGAAGGACTCGGCGTCGATAAGCCATTGGAGCCCTCGCCAGAGATCCTTCTAGCAATAGTCATCGATTCAATGCTAAAGTCAACTCGCATTTCGCACAACCTAGCCCAGCAGGCTTCTATGAAAGTATTCGAGGCCGGATACTACGATATCGAGGTTCTGAGCAACACGTCGTGGGACGACAGAGTGCAAGTGCTTTCTGAAGGTGGTTATAACCGATATCGTGAAAGCACTGCTACAAAGTTGGGGGATCTGGCTACTTTGGTGAATGACAAATACGGTATGTCGTAATATCATCCATGACAGTACGTACCAGGAACATTGTTTATCGACTAATACCTCTTTTCCAGACGGCGACCTCAACAACCTGCTAGCCAAAGCCGGGAATAAGCCCTCGCAGATACGTCAATTGATCCGAGAGATCAAAGGATTCGGCGATGTGGCCACGGATCTCTTCTGCGATGATGCGCAGGCCATCTGGTCTGTCTTGGCACCGACAATTGATCACCGCAGCCTGAGCACTGCTGAGGAGGTCGGCATCGGGCAGGATATCGGGGCCATTTATGCAGAGTTGGGCGGTGACCCTGTGCAGATGAGCAAGTTGGCTAGAGGGCTTTCGGCGGTGAGATTGTCGAGAAGCCAGGGGGACATTGAGCAGCAGGAATAGTTGACAATACTGCCTGCATGAATACTATGCCGTGTACAGTATGAATCCGCTGATCGGAGCTTCCCCGCATTTTTTATTTGTATTACTTTGTCCGAGGTCCGAGAATGGGGGTAGCTTCACTCTCTGAAATATGATATATTATTGTCTATTGCTATCCTTTGTGAAGCTTCACGTCTAGCATTTTTTACAAATCACTACAAGAAAGAGTCGCCAATGGCAGCCACACCAGAAACTACTCCCCGCAAGCTCTGGGAGCATCCGGATCCGGAGTCAACGCAGATGGGGATGTTCAAGTCAAGACTTGAAAAGGCTAAGGGAATCCACCTTGCTGTATGCAAGTATTCTTTCGTTGAGAATACCAAACAGTCGTCTCGCTTCTCTAACCAAAGCTCAGGACTACGACGCGCTCTATCAATGGTCCATACAGAATCGCTCCGAGTTCTGGAGCAGAGTCTGGGAAGAATTACCTCTCATACATGAAGGACGATACACGAGCGTGCTCGATGAATCAGCTCCAATCCAGAGTAACCCAGATTGGTTCCCCGGGGTGCGGGTCAATTTCGCAGAGAACATCCTATTCAGCACACCGAGCTACGAGGCCGCGAATGCAGGTGTCCGGTCTACAGTCGGAAAAGAGGACTCCAAAATCGCCGTGCACGAGGCTGTAGAGAGCAACCTGCAACCTGCAAGGGACTATACATGGAAGGAGCTACGACGGAAAGTCGGGCTGTATACACAGGCGCTCAAAGCGGCTGGGATCAAAGGCGGGGATCGTGTTGCTGTTGTATCTGGGAATAATATTAACTGCTTAGTACTTTACCTTGCGACGACGGCTCTGGGGGCTTTGGTGTCGACAACCTCGTCGGATACAGGGACAAAGGGCATTCTGGATCGATTGGCGCAAATCGAGCCGAAATTGCTGTTCATGGATGATGCGGCCGTTTATAAGGGGAAGATAGTTGATCTCCGAGCGAAGATTGCAGAGATCGTTCAAGGAATGCATGCTGTCGCCGAGTTTAAAGGAGTCGTTTCCCTTCCACGGCTACATGAGCAACCAATGGATATAGCATCTGTCCCTCGCACTGAATTACTCGAAGACTTCCTGTCAAAGGCAAGCTCGGACAAGTTAGAATTCGTTCGAGTCGGGTTCCGAGACCCCTTTTTGATCGTATACTCCTCTGGCACTACGGGCCAGCCCAAGTGCATTGTCCACTCGACGGGAGGGGTCTTGATCAGTATGGTCAAAGAAGCAAAATTGCATCGAGATATGGATCCGCAGTCTGCCTTGTTGCAGTACACTACGACAGGATGGATAATGTACTTGACGTCGTTTGGTTCTCTACTTGGCGGATCGAAAATCGTCATTTATGATGGCAGTCCATTTGCTCCGGATGCGGGCTTTCTCATTCGCTTGGCTAGTGAGCAGAGGTGTGTAGTTTAAATTTATCATCCTTCTGAGATAAGAGATATTTCTGCTGACTAGCATGGCCTGAATACAGAGTGACCCATTTCGGCATATCACCACGCTATCTCCAAGAACTACGCAAACAGAACATCCAGCCTCGGAAAATCGCAGATCTGAGCAACCTCCGCAACGTGTCGAGTACAGGAATGGTCCTGGCCGATTCTCTCTTTGAATGGTTCTACGACGAGGGCTTTCCAGCCCATGCACAAATCGGAAATATCTCGGGGGGCACTGACCTTGCAGCCTGTTTCACAATAGACAATCCGCTCAGCCCGCTTTATGTGGGCGGGTGCCAGGCGGCCGGTCTCGGTATGCCAATTGCAGTGTATGAGCAGGTAGATGAGGGTCTGCAGGGTGTGGATGGGAAAGCTGTCGCGGACGGCGAGGCTGGCGAGTTGGTTGCTGTCAGTGCATTTCCTTCTATGCCTGTGACGTTCTGGGGCAAAGACGGGCCAAAGAAGTACTACGCAGCGTATTTTGAGAAATATAACAGTAAGTCATGGGTCTCGTTCCCTCATCGTGGTATTATCTAAAAAGAAGAACCCTATTTATATAGATGTATGGACACATGGAGACTTCATCACCATTCACCCCTTAACCAAACAGGTGATATTCTCCGGTCGATCTGACGGCGTTCTCAATCCGTCCGGTATTCGCTTCGGGTCTGCCGAAATCTACAACGTGCTCGAGACGCAATTTGCATCAGAGGTAGTTGAGTCGATCTGCGTGGGACAGCGACGTCCCCAAGACCTCGACGAATCGGTTATTCTATTTGTGCAGATGCAACCGAGAACGGAATTCACCGACGGCCTGGTGCAGCGCATTCGAGATGCGATTCGAAAATTACTCAGTCCGAGACATGTCCCTAAGTATATTTTTGAGACACCTGAGATACCGGTAAGAGAAATTCTTATTTTCTATGGTCACTCCCGTGTGTTGTTCTAACATGGTTCCTACGCAGACAACCGTCAACGGCAAAAAGGTCGAACTCCCCGTTAAGCAAATCGTGTCGGGGAAACGTATCAAGCCATCAGGTACACTGGCCAATCCGCAAAGCCTGGAGTATTTCTACCAGTTTTCCGAAATAGAGAAAGTGGGCAAAGTGCGGGCGAAGCTATAATTCTGCATATATGTATATAAAGACAAGAAACCCCTAGGTATATTGGAAGCATCACCTGTACACACGACTATCTAGGAAGATTTGATCACGTCCACTTAAGAGCCATCCCCATCGAGTGCGGTGCCGTAAACTCGAACCCATTCCGCTCATACAACAACCTCCCCGGCCCATCAGCGAGCAGATTCACATACGGCGCAATGCCCCCATCCTGCATTGCCGTCGACATGGGCGGCGTCGACTTGATTTTCTGGATTAGATGCTTCAGCACATAATCCCCTAGCCCTTTTCTCTGGTGTGCTGGCAAAACAGCCATGTCGGCGATCACGAAGTACCAGCCTCCGTCGCCGACGATGCGGCCCATAGCCACGATTTCGGACTCATTGGAGAGAGAAGAAGAAGAAGAAGACTCTCTCTCGGTTTGGGGGTCTTGTGCCTGGGCGGCGGATGGGTTGAAGGTGATGTAGCAGCCGTACCAGCTGCCGTTGAATGCGGCGATGGCTTGCGTGGCGGTGTGTGGTGAGAGGCCGGCTGATTTGCGCAGGTCGACGTATATCTCGGCTGGGGGGTAGCCGGGATGCAGGATATAGCCAGGGGGGAGTTTGCGTGGCATGTTTTCCGCTGGTTTATGTGATATGTAGCGTGAATAAATACATGAAGTTTTGTAATCACTTGTTAGCTGGCGGGGCAGCGGGGCCGTTGGTGTTCTCGTTGTTTTGCGTGCTCCTGAGATCCGAATGGCTTATTAGCTAATCATGTAGAGCAATGCTGTTTCTAGTCTTTCGAGTGAAGGAAACCAGTGAGTCAATGCCGGGAGAGTTGGATTAGAGCAGTCCTCATTATACCTCCCTATCAGTCTGGTGCACGTGCAACTGCAAGCCCTAAAGAGACAACTTGCGCCCGAAGGAACCGTTTCACAACAACAGTAGACTTACATTTCACGCTCAAATAAGTCGATTATATTATTCGTAATGTTGGATTCTTTACTGTATTTCCTCTTTTCTTTTTTCATTGCTAATGCCAAGGGAACAGATACGTGGTAGACACTCATAGGGATGACAATTCTCGCTCCAGGCAGCAATGTAAACAAGATCTATGTAATTTATGCACTTGGTATGTACTTACAAAGCATGCATAAAGCCCAGTCTCGACTCTAGAGCTTACTTAGTTACGGAGTAGTTAGTTAAGAGTTAGAAAGATCACTCCGCAGTTCGGGCGGAGACAAAAACCGCGAGTGGAGCTGATCTTTATCGAACTTTTTTTTTTATCAATCGCCTTGTCCTCGCCGGCTCTTGCACAAGGCGGGTTTTTTTTTATTTGCAGATTCCTGACTCGTATTCTGGGACTAGTTCTATACTAATCTCGAATGAGAATTCTTGAGGACTAGGCTGGTTAAATTATTTATCCTGCGCCAGTGACTCACTCATTGACGAATAGTTATATCGGGCATCGAAGACTTTGCTTGCTTGCCAAAACCACGAGTGTTTACTCAATTGTACGTCTTCAAGTCAGAAATAAGAGAGAGAGAGAGGTAGAAAAACGAAACCATGGCCTCCACAGCTGGCGAGTTCCCGACGACACCAGAGCAGACTGCTCGAAATGTGCAGGTATCAGCTCTTCATGAACCAAGCACAAAAGTCATGAACGAAATCCAACTCACACATCTATCTTCCACGGTGTCTGGCACAGCGGCGCACGAAACAGCGTACCAGTCAGCGCCCTCCGAAGCAGAAGCCGGGGATGCAGAAGCAGGAGAGACGCCGCAAGGCCGATTTAGGATTGCAGCGATCTTAGTCGCTCTTTCGGTATGCCAATTCGTAAACCCACTTCTGCCCCCCCCCCCCCCCCTAGTTCATTAACATATTTAAACACAGTTGAGTCTCTTCGTGGCAGCGCTAGACCAAACCATTGTAGCCACCGTCATCCCAACCATCGTTTCCGACCTGCACTCTGCGTCTGGCTACGTATGGATCGGAGGCGCATATCTGCTTGCCAACGCCGCAGCGGCCAATATCTGGGCCAATCTGTCCGATATCTGGGGACGCAAACCGCTTTTGCTGGCGGCAGCGGCACTCTTTTTCGGCGCGTCGATTATATGTGCCGAGGCGGTTGATATGAGCATGATGATTGCGGGAAGGGCGTTGGAGGGCGTTGCTGGTGCCGGTTTCTTGCAGCTTGTCACTATTACGATTTCGGACTTGTTTAGTGTGAGGTGAGTTGCATACACCTCACCAAGGAAGCTTCCGACCAAATGTCTAAACGGAAGCACAGAAACCGCAGCCTCTATTTCGGCATGCTCGAGTTCATGTGGGCTTTTGCCGGCGCCGTGGGCCCCCTGGTGGGCGGTGCCCTGACGCAAGAAGTCTCCTGGCGATGGGTATACTGGATCAACCTGCCTGTCTGCGGCACAGCATTCGTTCTGATCTTCTTCTCCCTGGACGTGCACAACCCGCGCACGCCGTTTCTGCAAGGCATCAAAGCCGTGGACTGGTTTGGCAGCCTGTCAATCCTGGGACTGACCCTGATGCTGCTGCTGGGCCTGAATTTCGGCGGCGAGACGTTCTCGTGGAGCTCGCCGCAAGTTATTTGCCTGATTGTGTTTGGGTGCTTGATGTCGCTCGTCTTCATCTACTGCGAAAAGCGGCTGGCCAAGTATCCGCTTATGCCGTTGAGCGTGTTCCGGGAGATTACTAACATTGCCTGTTTTGTGGTGACGTTTTGTCAAGGAATGGTATGGTTTTCCTCAGCCTTCACGCCTAGGCGGTGCTTGATCTAACATTTCCTGCAGGTCTTCCTCGGCGGCGAATATTACCTCCCCCTCTACTTCCAGTCCGCCAAAGGCGCCTCGCCCATGCGGTCTGGTGTTCTGGTGCTCCCCATCGTGCTCACAGAGTCCTTCATGAGCGCATTTGTCGGGTTTTTCATGCACCAGACCGGACGCTACCGCGAAGTCATCTTTGTCGGCACAATACTGACCACGCTCGGCACGGGCCTGTACATCGATCTCGACGTGGACTCGTCCCTGGCCAAGATCGTCCTCTACCAAATCGTCACGGGGCTGGGCACGGGCTGCCTCTTTGCGCCGCCCATCATCGCACTGCAGGTGAATGTCTCGCAGGCCGAAACGGCCAGCGCAACGGCCACGCTAGGGTTTATTCGCAACCTGGCTACGGCCGTGAGCATTGTTCTGGGTGGAGTCATCTTCCAGAATAGCATGAATCTACGCAAATCGGATCTGCGCGCAGCCGGGCTGACGGCGAACGAGACTAATCTGTTCGCCGGCGAGAGCGCGTCGGCGAGTATCCTCCTGCTGGATGGGGTTATTGCGGATCCGGCGCAGCGGCGCGTGGTGAGGGACGCCTGGTCGTGGAGTTTGAGCAATATCTGGATTTTGTATACGTGCGTGGCGGCTGTGGGCGTTGTTGCAAGCTGTTTTGTGAAGAAGATGCAGCTGAATAAGAATGAGGAGTACGTTGAGACGAAGACGGGGATTAGTGAGAAGGCGACAAACTAGGAGAGGCAGAAAAGTGTTTTTTACATAGTCAAAGTTCATACGACTTTGATCCGCATAAAGATTCCATTTCATGTTTTCTCCCACTCAAATGGGAGTGATAATTTGATATTCAACTTAACATACAAAGACAATTACACGATTAAGTAGAAGAGAGAGAAAAAAGAGAACCGGCCCCGCCCTTAACAACAACAAAGTCGAAATGACCAACTTATTTGTTGCGCTTAATAGCAGCCTCCAAAGCAGGAGGGTTCACCCCGACGAACTCGTCGATCTTCTCGCCGTTCTTGAAGAAGAGGAAAGTAGGCATGGCGCGGATGCCGAGTTCCTGGGCAACGTCGGGGGTCTCGTCCACATCGAACTTGACGAAGTCGACATCGGTGTGTTCGTCGCTCCAGGCGGAAACCTTGGGGGCGATGGCCTTGCAGGGACCGCACCATTCGGCAAAGGCGTCGACGACGACCAGCTTGTTGCTGGTGATGGCGGTTTGAAATTCAGATTTGCTGTTAGTAAAGGGGGGGAAGTTAGTATACGCGTATTAGATGACCAGGAGAGCAGAACGTACTTGGCGACGAGCTTGACAACCATGGTGACGGGAGTCGCACGGAATCGGTTCAGCGGAGTTGACGTGAAGGTACGGCGAGAGGACGAAGAAACGGCGAGGCGACGGAGAGACGGCGAGGTCAGAGCGCGAGAACTAATCGTTTGAGAGTTGATTAAATTTGGGGGCTTTGGACTTTTTGAATCTGGGGAGCAAAAGAAGAGAGAGAGAGGGTTACGAGGCGAAGAGTGGGATGGAAGGATAAATAATGGGAAAGGAGGGGCAACGTGACGTCCGTTTCTTCAGATTAGTCAGAAGGGCTGATTACGAGAGCGCTCCATTCTAGAGCATTGCTGAGAAAACGAACACCGCCGAACTGTGCGGTCGGTGTGACGTCCAGGCTGCTCCTGAACCTTCCATTGGCATGGGCATGGGCATGGGCATGGGCAGAAGGGGCAGGCCTACCTCATGTTGGCTTAAATCGCGGTTGTCTGGCTGGACTGTTGAAGTTGATGCGATTCGCTTTCGTCACGCTGGCGGATGCTTTTCCTGCCGCGCCAGGACGGGCAGGCGGTGGGCGGATGGCGTGCTTCTATGCTTAGCTAACCGCGAGGGTCTAGACTACGCTAGCCCTAATTCGCCTTTACAGACTGCAATAATAAATAAGATATAAGATATAAGATATAAGATAAGTAATAACTTATAGAGTATATAACTACTACTCAACGATAGCGTACATACGTCTGGATAGGCAAACACAGAGCGAATCAACATAACATTGGGCATGGGGTATCTGATACATATCAACAGGACAGGGACAATAACACGAAAACGAGAAACAAATCAACAAGGTCAGGGTGGCTACAGAGTGTGTATGGGCCTGCCGGTGGTAACAACGGTTGTCGGGGGATTCGTTGCGAGTCTGCCAGTGTGGTGTAAAGATATATTCAAGGGGATGTTGTTGGTAGTGATGTTTTTCTTTTTTTTTTTTTTTCGGCGGCTTGATTATTTTCCTTTTTTTCACCTTTTTTTTTCCCTTTTGTGCATTTCTTTATTCCATCTTTTTTGTTTTCGGTTTTCGCTCCTCTATCTTCTTTCTTTGTCCTTGATCAAGCCTTTTCTTTCTTTTCAATTTTTTTTCTGTTCTTTCTTTCTTTCCTTTTTTTTTTTTTTTGGCTGCCTTGGCAAATGTGGCTGGCTGGCTGACATCAATATCGTTCCCCGTCCATTCCACCCCAGACAAACGACAGGAATGCCGTAACTCGACTACTGTCTCGACGAACCAACAGACGCTCGACGCGGGATGTCTAGTAGTTTGGCACTCCCCGCGCTGATCTGACGAGCGTGTTTGTGGCCACGGCCGAGGTCCACACTCAATGCACGCTTGACCTCAACAGTCTCGCTCTCTTGGCTGATTGGACTTGCGTTGTCTTCGTCCACGATGGACGAGGTATCCAGCATGTCGTAATCACCGAGCACTACCTCGTTGGACACTATGCGCGCTCGGCCGGATGCACGACGTACCACCGTCGGTTTCCTCTCCAGGACTACTCCATGCCAGGTTTCCAAACCGCTTGTGTTGTCCTTTGAAGATGGTCTGCTGCTGTCTTCGCTCAAACCATCGGTGTTGGCCGGTCCCCTCGCCGAACTGCTAGCTCTCCGCACATCAGGGATAGAGTTAGACTCTTCCTCTGCGGATTCCTCAGCTAATTCATCCAGATATTCGTCGCTAGCAAGACCTTCTTCGTCGTTTTCTTCAGCCTCGTCGTATTTCATAAGCATTTTCTTTCCGGTACTGCTGCGCCACGATGTATAGTTGTTTGAGTTTTGTTGCTGTGAAATCCGTCGTAGAAAGTTCCCGGACATCCATGAGCCCTCCGAGTCAATCGACGCCAAGGACTGTGACAGCATGACGCTGTTATCATCCCATGACATCGGACGACTTCGCCCATCATCATTTTGGTTCTCATTCTCGTTCTCGTATTTGTATTCTTCTTCCACATCAGTAAAAGACCGACGTGGACTTGGACCAGTTTCCAACTCGTCCACAGCGGGCATGTCCACAACCGCTTCGAGAGGGGCGGGAGTCGGAGACTGCATGCGGGAATCAGGTGGTGAGATAGGATAATCCCCCAGATGTTCCACAAATTTGGACTGTGACCGATACACAGTGCCCGTCCGGCGAAAACTCCTCTCGGGAATGGGAATTGGCACGGCTGGCTTGGTATGCGATTGTGTCCTCATGAATGAATCTCGAGACGTGTTGGAAAACTCAGAAGGCGGCGCGTCAACCTCTCTCGAACTTCTCTTGCGTAGACTGGGACGGCGGAAGAAAGAAATCCAAGAAGCCATGCGCCTACTGCTACTCGTGTCGGAGAGGCGCTTTTCAGAGATCTCTGTGCGCGAAAGGTCCGAAAATGACTCCTGAGCTACACTGCTCATACGAGCGGAACTCGTGCTAGCAACAGCCTGGTACAACGGAGAGCGGTGTCGTGAGGCCTCATCTTCTGACTGTGCATTGACATCATGAACCAATTTTCCAGCTCGAATAGACCGGTCATCAATATTCCCAATAACGTGGGCTGAAATATCAGAAAAGCGGTTCTCGCGATTTTGCGTGTCTTTGGACGACTCTCGTAACCATGATCCCGACTGCACATAGGCACTATCCTCTTCCTCGATGTTATTTTCTGGATGAAATTGCTTCGAAGATGTAGCGGGAGATGGAGTTTTGTCTCGGCCGCGCAGCTCATGAGCTTCTGTTTCTTCTTCATTGTTGCTGTTGTTTTTCATAATCCCCAATCCGTCGGCATTCTCAGATCCGGGCTGCTCGTGTTCACGCTCAAGTCTTCGTTGCAAGCGGCGCTGTTTCCTTTCTTGCTCTTGTTGACGCTTCTTTTCCTTCCGTCGACGATCTCTTTCCAGAAGCTCTCTCAATGCAGTAGCATCCAAATCATCGGCAAGCTCGGCGACTCTCTTATGTGAATTCCAGTCCTCCTCGTCGGCGCGATGGCGCATGGAGTTGGACGAGGGATTCGCGCTTCGTGGAGGAAGTTTGTTGTGGTGTTCGGAATATCGGATGATTGGCCGTGGCGCCAAAACAGCAAGAGCATTGACCTTGTACGTATATAAATAATCAGAACTCTCCGACATGGATGACCGAGAATCCATGGGAAGACTTTGGTTGGAGGCATGATGGTCCGCATTACGACTATGCACGCTTGGCCCGCGGCGGATATCAGATGCAAGATAGCCCCATGTTGCGGCGGCATGGGGAGGGTTAGGAGGCGGCGAAGAGCTCAATGCTTTGATCTCTTGCTCCCGTTGTATATCTCGAGCTGAGCGTTTGCTAAGCCGCTTCTTCAGTGTAGTACCCTTAGTAGCAGTAGAATTGGAGCGCCTTTGTAGCATTGGCGTTGGGCGAGCAACAGTAAAATTATCCTGGCCAATACTTGAAAGGGACGTCTGATTGTCGAGATTGTAGGCAAAAGGGATAGGTCTCGCCGCGGCACGTTCCGGCTCAGCTGCAGCGGCACGAGGCGGAGGAGCAGGAGGAGGAGATGACTGTTGACGCAAGGAGCCGGCACTTCGGTGCTTGTCGCGTTTCGATCGCTTGCGAGACGGCTTTCGTGCCACGAGTGTCGGAAGCTTGTCAACAGGGTCTTCCAGCGACAGTCGGCGGTCAGCAGCATCGGAGGCCTTCATCTGACTCCTCGGCCGCTTGCCCTTGCGACCGAAGGGCCATATTGCCATTGTGGCAGCAGCCGGGGGTTGCCTCTGGGACCCGTTCTCTCTTCAGTTTTGAGGTCTCGCTTTCTTACTCGGTCGAGAAAAAGTGAGCGGTGACGGTCTGACGGAGTAACGGGCGCCTGGGTTGGTGACAGACTCGGCCAGGCAGGCGAAGGAAAATCATGGAGCTTGCTGCTGCGCTAAGAGAGTCGGCTGGGAGGGAAGAAGAGAACAGGCAAAAGAGAATAATGAAAGGAACGGAATGAGGCAGTCGAGGTCGGGGAAATGAGAGTGCATGCGCGTATGTGTGTGCGAGACTGCAGCTTTAGTTTTGGGGCCTGAGGCTTTGGGCTGCTTGGCCTGAACCAGACTAGTTAGGGGCTGGCACACGCTAGAGCGCGGGACCGCACAGCGCTGGCCCATGGAAACGCCGCGTTCTGGAACATACAATTATTGTGGTGCCTGCCGTTATACGAGTCATTCATAACGATGATGATGATAATGATCCGTATCAAATGACACGCGCTCGCAATGGCGGTGGTTTTGGATCTGAGTGCGCGGGATGCCCATGCCGCACATAAAAGTCACGGGCTGCGCATAAAATCCAGCCGCAGCCAATCAGAGCATGTGCATAACCGAGTATAACTATGCAGTGCACTCGGCGTCGAGATACATCATATACAGTAACTATAGTTACTATGCCTGCATTGATTAATCTACGACCGACCGTACAGCCTGGTCCGTGACAGCAGAGCATACTACGTGGAGGATTGCATGTTTCACCGACTGAGACATTTGCTGTTCCTGCGTCTGCTGCTAGCATTTAGCAGTGAAACCAGCACGCTTAGCGCCGACGAGAAAATAAAATAATAAATGTATGTGTCCACGTTGGGACTAGTCTGGTGCTCTCTTATCGATAAGCAGCTAGCTGCCTTCCAACATGTCGAAACAACAACAACTTCACATCACCGACATTTGTCCATTGCTGAGCACACGTTCATTGATTGATGTATTAGTGCATGCCAGCGCAAACAAATCTACTTTCCTGTAAACCAAGAATATGCCCATGGCAGCATAGATCACTGACAACACAGCCTCGCTCCAACCAGAGCTGCCTGACAGCAAACACAAGCATGTCGGCCGCCATCAACCCCGCAACAGGGCAGTCGCTCCCCGCAGATGCCCTCCAAAGAGTCCTCTTCGTCACTCGGCTCGTCCACGTCTACACTGTGCCTCCTCTGGCCTCCATGAAAGGTTACACGGCCGCCGACTGGACCGTACCCGATGCACAAACTGGCCGCACCCGCCAAATCTTCTCTGCTCGTCTGCTCATCCTCGAAACCGCCATCCACGGCAAAGTGACCGCCGACATCCTGCTAGAGGATGCCGATAACGGCACTTTATTCGCTGCTGCGCCGTACACTGATGTCGGGGCCGTGGAACATGTCCTTGATTCGTCGCGATTCTTTGTTCTGCGCGTGGTCGGCGAGGGCAGGAAAGCGCTGTTGGGTATAGGTTTTGAGGATCGGAGCGATGCCTTTGACTTTGGCGTCGCCTTACAGGAAACGAGAAAGATACTGGGGATAGCGGATGGAGCCACGGCTTCGGATAAACAACAAAAACTACCATCTGGACAGAATTCTACTTCTTTATCGTCAACGTCTACCTCGCTATCGTCGACATCTTCCTCGACTTCGTCACCATCACTCTCACAAAGCACACCAACGGATTACAGCTTGAAGCCCGGTCAGACCATTAGTATCCACGGTGGAAGAAGGCGCCCAGCAGCGACGACGACGGCAGACCCCTTCTCAGCCGAGGCCAAGACCTCTGCAAGAGCTGAAGAGCAGGCTCTATTCTCGATCCCACCTCCCCCAGCCCCCGGCGCCACCGCTTCCTCCACGATAACGTCGGCGGATCAGACCAGTCGACGGAAGCGACCTACTTCGGCAATTATAGCAACAGAGAACAGACCCATCCTCGGCTTTGAAGATTCAGCCACGTTCGACTAAAGTTGATAGGGATGACGGGTGCGGGGTATATATATATATACATAACGGCCTCCAAGTATTACATTGCTTAGTAGACAAAATTTAATTCCCCTAATATGCTGATAGTAATTGGGACAGAGAAACAAAAGCACTAGATTCGAATAGAAGGGTGGAGGGGG